TGGGCCTTGGCGTTCGTCTTGGTCCTCAGGGTCAAGACGTTGCAGCTCAAAAGCTAAGCCTCCTTGAGCAGGTAGCCCACGCGCGGCAAATCGAAGCAAAGGGTGGCGAGCCGGTCACCGTTCCAATCTTAACACCCTTGGGCGAGAATCCCACCGAAGAGGCTCTGAAGGTCTATGACTACTACATGACACCTCGGGCGCAGCACCCCAGATCGGAAAACAAGATGCTTCTCCGGTCTCTTACACTGCTCGCCAACTTCGACCCATGGTCCTTTGCAGACATATATCTTACGCAGCCGGTACTGATTGTGGCTGGGGAAAAGTCTGCACAGAAATGGCATGCGGAAGCCCTTTTCGAAGCTCTTCAGGGGCATAACAAGGGGCTGAGAAAGATTATCATGCCTAATAGTGGACATGTGGACTTTTACGACCAAGATGAGTACGTCAATCCTACGTTGGAAGAGATTGTTCGGTTCTTTGAACCGCTAGTATGATCGATCACAGCCTTGTTTGGAGTGAAGTTCACCCAAGCCAGGGCACCATCGAAGGGAGGCTATGGCTGAGGAGTTCGTATGAGCTCACCAGCACAAAATTAAAGCTTGATAGGCTACGCAAGTGTCAGGACCCCTGCGGAGCCACTAAGGGCCTGCCAAGCTAAGGGGCTGGCTAGGGGCTAAGGGTCACGAGAGAACGTATATATAGGCTACGGAGGGCCCCCTAAGCTACGGAGGGCCAGAATTCAGATATATTCCGACCCCTTACCTACGTTCTATTTACTACGGACTATATACGGAAGACCTCTTTACTCTACTCTAAATAACGCTCTAATATACTAAATTCTCTACCCCTATAGAGTAGACCGTTAGGGCTTCCGATATTATACTAATCTACGTAATTACTAGCGCGCCGAAAACCCTAGACGATAAGAAATAATAACGTAATAGAGACCCGCGCTAGCTCCTATCGCTAGAAGAGTACGGAGAGCACCTTCTCTAACGAGTCTCCTATAACTATAGGCCGCGTAGACTCCGGATCACCTAAGTAATTAGCTACGGAGTATAAGAGGCCTAGGCCTAGGGTACGGAGCCCTAATAACGATAGCGAAACCGACGAAGAGGGATACTTAGAGAGGGCTATAGAACGTACTAGGAAGCGGGTCTATATCGAATCGCTTAAGAAATAACTTATAGCCTTTAATAAAGACCGGCCTAGTAATATTCCTACTATAGAGTATTATAATTTCTATAATCCGATAGCGGAGGCTAGACTATAAGAAGAACTTATAAGGGCTTATATATTATTACTTAATATAGCTATTAATCCGCCCTCTTAAGGGCTACGCTAATTAGGAATTAAATTAATAAAATTACTAGAATATATAGCGGAGACCTACTCTATATTAAAGCGATTTCTATAAAGCTATAAAGAATAATTCGAAATCGATAAAGACTATTTTAAGGACTAGAATAAATATATCGCTTAAGTAATATAGTACTTTCCCTTATAGCTAAGGGATATATAAATAGACTATAAGGAGAGGTACTTTATAGAGAAAGGATATTTATAAGAAGAATTTAAGTAATTTCTCTATAAAGAATAGGGCGGATCGATATAAATATAATATAAAGGACTCTATAAATAGGACTAATTACGCTAGAAAGATAGTTAACCTATTAAAGAGTTCCTAAAAGAGTTCTCCGATAATATAGAAGATATAATACTAATATTAATAGAAGTAGATTATATTAAATAATTATTAATAAAACTATAATTAAAGGTATAGAAAAGCTTCGCTAAATAGCTTTAATAATTATAGAATATATAAGAGGTCGTTAATATAATCTAATAGTTAGAGGACTTCCTAAAAGACGATTATATCGATAATATTAACTTAGTAAAGCTAGGGTAGTATTATAGTAGACCTAAGCCTACCTTTTATTAATTATAGAGGAGGTTACTCTCTAAGATAGAGTATTTTAATTATTATAAATTAAGCTATTATATAGTAATCTATATAGAGCTATAAAAGATATATTAATATATTATAGAATTAACTATAATAGTAATTAGAGGTTAATAGAAGAATAAGTCTATATATAACTTATATAAATAGAATTTATATATAAAGAATTAAAAGCTATCGAGCTTAGAATATAGAGAATTATAGGCTTTATATATAGGAGTATTATCTATAGCTAAAAGCGTATAATAGAGGGGTAAACGCTTAAATAAAGAACCCTAAGGAGTCTATAGAAACCTACCCTTAATTAGAAGAGCTAAGGTACTATAGCGAAGTAATATTCTATTTATTACTTAAGCTTATTATAAGAGGTAAAGCTAGCTAGGCTATACTTCTTAAGATTACGCTAATATAAAGTGTTAAGTTTAAAACTATAGAAGGCTAACTCTATAGACTACTATTAAGAACTATTCGGACTATATATTAGAGAAACGTCTCTATCGAATAGCGAATAGGCTCTATAGCGGATCCGAGAAGCGGAGGGTTAGAGGTATCTATTAAAGCGCGAGAAAGTATATTACTATTAAATATAAGAAAGCGGACTTATAAAAAGGAGACCTAGGAAGTATATTATATAAGAGGATAAAGTATAGAGTAATAAGATAATTATAGAGAATAGAGCGACGATTTTAATTTAGGCTTAGAGGCTATTATTCTAAATATAATAAATAATAAATAAAGCCTAGAAGTATAATCTTAATAATAATATTATTATAGAGTAAGTTAATAATAGAGTAAGAATTTACTATAGAGAACTTATAATAAAGATAGTTAGGGAGGTAATAATAAACTCTTAAATATATATTATATACTCGGCTTACTCTATAATATAATTATTTATAGGAATAGGAGCTAAGGTAATAGTATTAATTATAGTTATAGAGCTTATAATTACCTCCCTTTCCTCTATATCTTCTTCTTTATCTTTACTTTTATTATCGTTATTATTATCGTCTTTATCGTTTTTAATAATAATAATATATTCTATAGCTTTTTTCTTAATATAAGTAATAATATAAATATAATATAGACTATAGCCTATAATCTTAATTATAGCTTTAAATATAATAAAGAATTAGCTAAATAGAAGGCCTATAGCCTCTATAATAACTAGGTTTCGCTATATTATAGTAAGCTATATAGTAATAGCGTAAGCGTTAATATAATCGGGGACTTAGAACGATATTAGAATAATAGTATAAAGGGGTAATAATAAAGGGCTAACCTCTTAATACTTATACTTACTATAAGCGTACTTAGAGTACGAGGTAGCTATAGTAGCCCCCTTTTAGTCGAAGTAATTAATAGACTAGTACTATATTATATAAGTAATATAGGGTCTATAAAGTACCTCGTACTCTATATTATCTTATAATAGGGCGGCTAAGTAGCGCTATTACTAGGCGACCTCCTTCTTAGTAGCTTAATCGATAAGATAGTTATCCTAGGCCGAGGCCCGGATCTAATATTACTTCTCTATAGTAAAATAGTCTATCTATCTATAAGAAGTTAATATAGTACTAAGAATTAATATTCTAGAGTATTTACGTTATAGTAATAGTATAATTAAGAAGAGAGTTATTAATAGCGGAATAGTACGATTAGAATTACGGAATTTATAGATATTTATTATAAAACTATTATAGTAAAGAAGATACTATAGGTTAGTAAACTAAAATAATAGAGAAGCGCGGATTAGAGGGAACTTATAAGTAAAGGGTAGTAGAGGGCTAAAGAAAGGAAGGTTAGAAATAAGCTACGTAAACGCTAAAAATCGATAATTAAAGCCTTTTACTAAGTTTAAATAGAACGACTAAGTAGTAATAGGGTAAAGCACTACTATAGTACTAGCGAGAGTAATATAGAGCGCTACGCTAGAAGACTACGGAGCGCTACGCGAGAAGATTACGGAGCGAGGCCAGGAACCTACGAGAGGGCTATTACTACGGGGTAAAGCTATTCCTACCGACTCCTAGGGGCTAAGGGTCACGAGAGAACGTATATATAGGCTGCGGAGGGCCCCCTAAGCTGCGGAGGGCTAGAATTCAGATATATTCCGACCCCCTACCTACGTTCTATTTACTGCGGACTACGTACGGAAGACCTCTTCACTCTGCTCTAAACAACGCTCTGACAGCAAACGACCTCCATGAGGCCTTCCGCTAGTGCAGTGCCCTCAACTCCTTTTCAATCACAAATGTACCAGTACAACGACTCAAAACTACACTCTTTGTACAATCTTGATAGCTGGAACATGGGGACTAGTCGTACCTCTGATTGAAAGTTTCGAACCAGATCAGAACCATTGCAGTTAATGAAAAGTTGAAACTGGCATGATTTCTTCATAGAGAGCTGAACCCGAGCTGCTTCCGTCCCAGTTCATGACTTGTAAGTGCTCCCGAGCCCGCTGGTAAGGCTGGCGTATCCGCCTGGGTCTAGGCACAAGTAGAAAACATAGATGCAGGTAATCAGGAAATTTCCAAGCCACCAATGCAAAACCTGCGCCCAGAGCTACAGCCCGGACTGTAGTCATGCGGCACAGCGCAAAAGAGGCAATGGATAAACTTGTCCATCCCCGCCCATCGTTTGCAAATCACACAATTGCGCCTTTGGTAACTTTGCGATCAAGATGTCTCGTCACTCATGGAATCCGCCAGACTCTTCTTACCAGGCGCAGAGATCGAACGAGATTCCGAATCAAGTACGGAGACCGCCTTGGGCTTATGCCCCGACTACTTCGCAAAGAGAGCCGTATATCCCACCTCGTACGACTGGAAGGGATGCAGAAACTCGAGGCTTGTCATATCTGCCTTGGGTGCCATCTCCCGCGGACGCCGGGCTCAGCCAGCAGCCTCAAACCGCTCGTAACAGCACGGGCTACGTTCCCAAATCGCCCGATTTCAGCGTAATCGATCAACCGGCTCCCTCATGGAACAATAATCATCAAAACGAGGTCTGGGTACCCCCTGCAACCGACGGCATGGCTGGCATCTACGGCGACCGCTCGCAATCCGAATCTCGAGGCGGGCGCGACCTACAAGATGTGCGCATAGAATACCCGCAGCCTCGAAACCAAGAGCTAGGGTTCCTGGACGATGTGCCAGCCTCCAACAGAGACTCGCCTTCTGCACCTCACCTCCAGGCTGAAGACCAGCGGCTTAGCACCTTTGCTGCAACAGAAATGCATCTTCGTAGAGCAGTCACGCGCAAACCAGTCCCGCTGCGGCCAATGCAACGGCCAGCACCCAGCGCATCAGCCCGGCCCTCGAGCATGACAAGGCTCCAGGCAGCAAACAATGCCAGCACATTCTACAGCCCAGGCTCCCATCTCAGCGAGTGGCAGGCCCCAGGACCGAGTCCGCAGCACTCCCTCTTTGGACCCCACCCCCAGGGGCTGCTAAGGCCTGGCCGCTTCATGATGATCACGCCCGGCATGCGAGCCTGGGCCATTGACCGACCAGTCTCCCAAGCCCACGCTGACATCGCCATCGACCCAATGACGCCCCTGTGGCTCGAGTATCGTGCCCAAGTCCAGAACCTCTGCCGCGCCTTCCGACGCGACACGGCCTGCGGCATCGTCGCCTGCTCCGGCAACATCATCAGCACGGGCGACTTTGGCATCGAAATGGCCGGCAGTACATACCAGGAGCACCATGCCGAAGAGGCGCTCCTCTGCGGCAGCCGGCGCACGAGCCGTCGGCTGACGAGCGAGTGGATCGACGGCCGGCAGACAGACGTCTGGCTCGTCGAGCTACACGTGCAGTGCGTGCTGCTGGGCATCGAGCCGTGCTTCGGGGGCCGGTATCCGGGGCACAAGTGCCGGGACTTCTTCAGCAGCGCTGGGCGCTTGTTCAGGCCGCGCGTGGGCAGCGTGGCCCCGGCGGCGACGGGGGTGTTGCGCAAAGGGGAAGTTGTCGAAGCCATGTGGGTGAGAGCGCGGTTTGTGCCGCGTTCGGACAGGGGGGTGACGCCCGTGTTCTGCTACGAGATGCAGAGGGACAAGGCGAATCCTGCGCCGTCTGTTCTGTCGGCGCTCAAGAAGACTACAGGGCAGGGACCGAACATCGCGTGGCTTGACGCAAAAGATGATCTTTGGGGCAGCATGTACGGGGATGTGATGTGGATCAGCGGTGATGGGCGCGACGATGCTTGGCGCGCGAAGAGAGAGGCCATGTATCGTTTCCTGGAGCAGAATGGTTGGGAGGCCAGAGATGGCTTCGTAGTCCTTCGGGGAAGTACTGCGCCGGGCATGTTTGGGAGGACCAACTATGATGTGCGCACGGCGGATAGCAGCGAGAGGCCCTTTTGGCTGAAAATGCGTTCGACACAGGCCCAGGGGCCTAACAAGTTGAGGAAGAAGAGACCGGATAAGTCCCGTTGAAGCGAAGCTATTGAAGCAAGACGGCAGCGGAGGTAGCGTTCGGAGGATTGTTAGTGGGCGGGGGATGTGGTGAGGATGTCTCGACAACTTTCGACTTGCATGGACGCAAATGCTGCAGCAGAATGGCAATATCATTACCATGTAAAAGACTGACGGCTGCCAGTGTCTGTCTGAACATCGGGGCCGATAGCCACAACGTCTGTACGTTCCAAGGTGGAGATCTAGCTCTGATAGACAAAGTGTTCAAGGCATGTTTATAATCATTGCAACCTGCATATAGGGTCAAGATTCTAGTACATGGAGCTGATGAAATATTATACAAAATCTTTTGACGAGTAAACTGAGGCCGCAAGTCGGCAATGGTAGCAGCGACGAGTTGCAGTACGGTGGCATTGTTTGCTGCAGCACAATTGCTATCCCACTTATGTCCGACTTCCGCGGTCCAGACGCAATCCGTATCCTCTAGGAACATCGACCATTACGATCTTAGTTATGGGACTTAGACCTTACACGAAATCATTTCAAAAGATCTTGAAGAAAATAAAAATTTGACGCCAAGCAAGCTGCTGCGAAGGAATGAAGTAGAGTCCAACCTCAAGTCCCGCCTGTTGCACAGGCAAAAAGTGATTCAGGGGAGGCTCGAACTCCCGACCTTCAGTGAACTTGTGACGGCCCGAGGGCATCTCCATGTTAGACTGACGTGATAAACCAACTACACCACCGAACCGATGGAAGCCTGGGTTGGCTGAGGGAATTATGACGGCACAGAGTTGCGGAACAAACTGGAGCAGGTGAACAGACCCCTCAACGAGAGGGGCAGCGGCGGTACCGCACTGAACTTTGACCTGTGGTATACGCTGGCTCTTTCTTCGGGGGACCTTTGAAGCTGAGAAGTCCAGTATCCACCATCCTTGAACTACCCACCAGGGAGGGGTAGCCATGCATGACGTGCTGATCGCAGATATTGTGATTGAAGTGAAGAGAAGCATAGCCCTAGGTTGAAAGTTAGAATCCAATCTTAGTTCCCAGCACAGCGCACTCGCCATACCTCGGTGATGCGTCGATTGATCAGCCTCAAGGCCTCGTGCCGCTCTCATCCGTGATTCATCATCAAAGCCTCAGGTCTCCGCTTACGAAACAAGAGAAGAGGATCATGGCCATGGAACACGCTGCAGCACGCTAGGCAAACTCCGGCCGGAGCCCCATCGTACCACGGGCGGAGATGCTGCACAGTGAGCGATGACCTTGCATAGCGCTAGACTCATTTCGCCCACTGGATCGGGTGGGGGACACTTCGTGCTGTGAAGGGGGCGGCGCTACAGGCTATTGGACATGGCGAGTGCTTTCTTGCTGCAGCGTCATTATGAGAAGCGAGGGACACGTAAACGGCACATCGTCGGGCACGATGTGCATGGGTGCGATGCGTGAAACGACAGGAATCAGGCATCAGGGTAGCACAGGATTCTGATATAAGTATCGCAGGAAGACGCCGGTTTGGTATGATGTGTTCTACATTGAAGCAATCATCACTACCGCCCTTCATAGCAGACAACACATCCCGATCAAGCTCCCTCAACTTCCATTCTTGACAGTGCCTCGACACCATACAATGTCTTCCACCACGAACGTCCTCATCACCGGCGCCGGCCGCGGTAAGTCACGCCTCGTTAACCTAGGTACTGACAAGGCCACTTCGTCTAACGTGGCATAGGCCTCGGCCGTGGATTCCTCACAACGTTCCTTGCTCGCCCCAACCACATTGTCATCGGCAGTATCCGCGACCTTGACTCCAACACAGCCAAGGACTTGCGGGCCATCACGCCGGCCTCGGGCTCGCGCCTCATCCTCGTCAAGATCGAAGCCACCTCGACGACGGACCCCGCCGACGCCATCCGCCAGATCGAGGCCGAGGGCGTCAGCAAGCTCGACGTCGTCATCGCCAACTCGGGCATCACGGGTACCCAGGGCGGTCTCGAGACGGTCGACCCAGCCGACTTCCAGCACGTCCTGCTGGTCAACGCCGTCGCGCCCACGGCCCTCTTCAACGCCGCGCAGCCGCTGCTCGACAAGGCCGAGAACCCCAAGTGGGTGTCCATCTCGACGCTCATGGCCACCATCGGCGGCCTCGAGAAAACGGCCGCGTGGCCGTCGGTTCCCTATAGTGCTTCCAAGGCGGCGCTCAACTTTATCACCAAGTCGATCCACATCTGGCGCTCCAACATTACGGCCATCTCGGTGCACCCTGGGTGAGACATGAGCCAGCCCTGATAGCCGTGAGGGAGCTGCCGTGGCTGACCTGTTCTCACAGATTCGTCGCCACCGACATGGGGAAGTCTGGAATCAAGTTCTACAACCTGCCCGAGGAGGCCGCCATCAGCGTCGAGGACAGCGTCAGTGGTGTGACGAAGCTTGTGGGTTGCCTTTTCGCCTGGTCCTTGAATACGCCGTCTTGCAGATTGCTAACTCTGTGGCCAAGGTTGACAATGCCACGAGGGCTGAACACTCGGGCAAGTTCATCAGCTACGACGGGTCATTCCTCGAGTGGTGAGAAGTCGTATGGCGACCGGGTAAGCCGGATTCGTAGTTTCGTATATCGTAATCAACAGAAAAGACTTTGCTCACTCCTCAATGACTCGCTGTCCTTTCGTGAAACCAGAATGCGTCGATCGCAGAAGGTCTGAGCCCGCCAAATTGGGGTCAGCTCCGTGACGGAGAAACAGGTCGACAGCTTTTTCACAGTCAAATTCGACAGCCATCGACAGGGCGGTCCGTCCCTGCTCGTCATGGGCGTTGACATCGACACCAGCCTCGAGCAGGAAGATGATGGCGTCTCCTTTGTAGGCTTCCACGGCGGCAAGCAAAGGCGTGCGGCCTTCAATGTCACGGGCGTTGATGTCGGCGCCGTGGTCGAGCAGCATCTGCATCATCTCGCAGTTGCCCAGGCGAGCGGCGGCATGCAGGAGGGGTTGCGGCTTGTCGTGCTTCGTGGAGACTGTGCAGCCTGTATGTTCGGTCCAGATAGACAGGAGTTTGGCTCGGAAGGCCTGAAGAGCTTCTTGGCTTTGAGAGAGTCTCGTTTTTGTCCTGGCGATTGTCCTGGCGGGGGGCTGAGTTGCATCGGCAGGATTCGTTGCTACACAAAGGTCGCTGGTGGGCGGCGGGGAGGAGGTTGTGGCGTTTAACGTGGCTGGAGTAGTCGCTGTGGCTGCGGCATTGTCGAGAACGCCCGACTCGACGAGTTCCTCAAATAGCTGTGCCTCCCATGACGGGATCTCTGTCTCAAAGGCATAATCGTAGGGCTCTGTGGGGTTGGCTTCGACGCCGTTCAGCGGGGCGGGTGCATTGTCAACCATATCGTATGTGATGCCTGGGGTGACATCTGCCCCGGTCTGGTGGATCTCATACACGGGCTGCTGGAGGAAATGGTCTGAGGAAGCAAGGCGATGTGATGAATACGGTGTCGTCCAAACATCGAATTCTGTATCGGAAAGCTCCTCGATGCGGCGGCTGGCTTCTCTTTTCTCTTGTGCTCTCTTCTCTGGTTATGCGTCAGCCGGGGGCGTGGTCGAGGCTGAGGCATGGCGAGACACTCGCTCTCTCACTCACCTCGCAGCCGCCTTTGTGCCAGGCGATTCTTGGCCTTCCTGGGATTGTCCATGAAGAACACGCCGGGGGGAAGAGAGCGCATCGTTTGCGTCGCCATTGTGTCTTGTGGCAGCATGGTTCATGGCATCGTCGCTCGAGCTCCTTTTGAGACGGAACTTGGGAGGTGAGGAGGCAGGAGGCTCCAGAAATCCATGGAATCTCACAGCATCGGAATGAAGTTCGGCTGTGGTCGGGTCGCGTGATGGGTCAGCACTGTCACGAATCAGCAGCATGGGTGGCAGCCACACCTGCGCCTGGCGTCGGTGGTCTGTGCTCGTGAGGTGGCTGCCTTATTAATCCGACTTCGGCTTCCCCTGCGAGCAACCATCTTCGTGAAAGCGTGGATCGCTAATTGATTCAAATGCGGTATGAAATTAGCGACGAGAAGCGGTAGATGGTCTAGATATCTGATGCTTTCCTCCTGGATCTCCATCTAGCTGTCAAACGACTTTGTCGCCAGCCAGAGGGAGATGGATCCTGACCAAGGTATCTTGCCGACCAATTTTCGAATCTGAGCACCAAGTTCCCGCTTTCACCTCGAGACTTCACGCACGATCTCGACTCCCTCGAACTTCGGAATGCCGGAAAGCGGGAGACCCTTATTTGCAGCCCGCGTCGTCCATTACCGTTCCTGACTGCGTCTAAAGTCCCTCCAAGTCCGCTCTGGGATTGTATTCAGAGGCGTATACCTATAATCGATGGAATCGCCTTCGCGAAGGGTGTAGAAGTGAGGGGTGCGGTATGTCATACGCTCGACGGGCATTTTGCACGTAAAGTGAAACAAGAATATGACGGTTCGTCGGCCGTAGAGATGATTGAATAGCAAGTCGACCGAATGCTCACGGCCGTCAACCGCAATCGTGGGTACGCTCGGAAAAAGCTCTTCGACAAGTGAGATATTCGTGAAACCACAATCGAGCTCATCCGGCACAAGGAAAACGTCGCGGTATTTGTTGAACCACATGTAGTCCAGTGCCCAGCATCCGGTTACCTCAGTAACTCGCCAGGCTTCCCGGCACGCGCCGCGAATGCGTGGTGGAGGTCGAGGGTTATAGAATCGAGGTTCCTCATCGTCCGCGTCGTCATAAACTTCCCATATTCTCCCAGCCGGCAAGGCCATTGTCCAAATATATACCCTGATTTCGACGGGTAGGCGCTCAAATTTGTGAAAGACGTTTGCAATGACCGTGGTTTCTAGCTGACCCATGGCTTTCTGTTCAGGACCTGGGCATTAAGTATTAGCTGGTGTGGGCGCTTTGTGGGAAGAGCTTGTGGTATACATGATTGCTGCCCCGGGGCACGATCTGCGAGTGCCTTGACAATGAAATGTTGAGTCTCTGCCATTGCTTTCTGTGTGTTGGCAAGGACAGATTGTACCTCCGAGATGGTCTTTGTAGCCCGCGTCAGCTGCAACGCAGCTTGTGTTAATTTCTCCGAGGTCGTCATGCTCTCGCAATTACCTGAGGTACTATCTTCGGCGGTTTAAAAGTAATGGGATTGGTGGGAAGGAGGAGATTGACTGTGAACTAGAAAAGTAGGTGTCGTAGACTTGAGAAGCTACTAAAGTGTAGCTACCAAAAGTGAGAACAACGAGGTTGCGGAAACTGTTTTGGCATCACTTGCAGCAGGGACGAATCAGGCGGAAAGTATGGAGCGAAATGCGCCCTGCTTACCTAGGTACTTAGAGTAGGTATTTCTTCATAGGTAGCATAGGTCAGGTAGGTATGATAGGTACCTAAGGTGACGCAAATCACCGCGTGCAATGGTGGCCATGAATTGGATCATACGACATTATGATTCAGCATCGGCGCGAGCAACACATTTCAATGCTGGCAACCTGTTGCGGGGGATATCTGGCCAAGCTACAAGCCCATAGCTATGCCTTCATAACTAGTTTACCAAGAGGCTCGTACTTGATCCCTCACCTCCTTTTTAAAGGGCGCATTGACATCGAGCAACATTGTTCTTTTATTTTTACCTTTATCTATGACAAAGTCATCTAGGTCTTCGTCCTAGCGAGATACTCGACGACAAGCTCATTTGCAAAGCCTTGATTATGCCAATCATAGCATTGCTTTATTCATATGCTCTACGTGCATGTCAGGTGGCCTTACGGAATCATCGAAGAGGGGGGGCGGTTAGGGGCTGAGGACTAAGAGAACATGTATGTAAGGATGGCAGAGGGCCAGAACTCAACCGTAGTACAGCTCTGTACCTATTATCTGTTGCCTACGGGCCATGCGTGGAAGAACTCTTCACTCTGCTCCTACCAAGCACTGACACGGGACACCATTCCTCCACGTCTGATCGGCACTTCCATGGGAGCAAAACAGCGCCGCGCTATGTGTTGAGCCATCTGTAGTACAAGCGCCAACGTCTATATACCTGCGTTACGCGCCAGGCCTCTTTACAAGCACCCCATATACCCGGACGGAGGCATTGAGTTGCAAAATCGAAGAAATCCCCTGCAATCGCCGCCATAAACCTTTTCACCGTGTGGAGAGAATCTATTCAAATTCCCACGCTCTGGTCTGGTACCAAGTACCTCATTTATCACGCCTGAGGGCAACGCCTTCGTCCAGTTGACCACTCTGATATCAGCGGCGGATGAGAAAATTCTGGAAAGGCTACAGGCGCCAATAAAAAGTACGCACGCCTTTTTGACAGGCTCTAGAACAGAAATGTCAGCTCATCCTCACCTCTGGTCCTGCGGCATTGTAACACACTCTCTTCCTTCTCCGGCTTCGGACTGCCAAGAGTGGCGAGCATTGACTGCTGTGTGGCGGCAATGGTGTTCTGCGTCTCTGCCAGTTTGCTCTGCGTCGCGGCAATGGCAGACTATGTTTCCGTAATGGTCTTGGTCACTTGGACCAGTTGCACCATGCTCGGTGTCGATTCGTGCGAGTTCGCCATGTTGTTTTGCGTGATGGCCGTCGGAGGTCAATCAGAAGAATGCGGTTTGCAAAGCGAAGGTGTTTATCCGCAGTGAGGTTGGTGGGCCTCTGTGGGTTGAATATTGGGTTGCAAAGTAGTTTAGGTACGTATTTTGGCAAGTGGGTAAGCGAAGATAAGGGAGGCTCATGAAGGGCAAAATATCGAGTTTCAGTTTTACAGCTCAAGAAATCAAGAAGACTGCCTCGGTACCATTCACCGTGACAGGCGCTGGAAGGGAATATCAGGATAGGTGAGCGAGCTAAATTGGTATATAACGATCATATTCTAACGTTGCAAGAAGTATTCGATCTTAGTCTGATTTCGTTTCACTTTATGAACTACTCAAGACGCAATGCCTTCACCCTATGCTATATTAGATTCTTAAAAATGGAAGCCATCCCTCTCCTTCACTTTTAGCTAAACCAGCGATTGCTCATACAGTCCTTACAGGTCCCATCAATCGAAAAGACGAAAGACTACCTCTCGCTCCCAATGGCACAAGTCGATCTCGTTGGCTTACTCAATCAGCTTTGGAGATCTGATCAATGTACACGCTTGATGCTAAAAAGGGATGCGAGCTTGCACCCGTGTGTCTCTTTGGGGTTTACGGCTCAAAGGTCCGTCAGTCTCTTGACGCCCAGGTCTTATCAGCGTCCCGCATCGCCCACTCCGTCATCCACTGGCTGCGGAGTATATCCTCCGCGGTTGGCCTCTCACCTGGCCTGAACTTCAAGATGTCCCTGATCAATTCGCAGAACGCCTTGCTCTCCCTCTCGTCCATAATGTCGCCCTTCCTGCGTCGTCTCGGGCCCTGGATCGCATCCTCGAATCGCTGGTCAAAGGTCCAGGGCTGTCTTCCCTCCGTCGGCTGACCGTTGGCGATGAAACGCTTCCACTTCCCGTCCCAAGCATCCCACCACTCGTCCGGCAACGGCCCTAGAGCATCGATCTGGTTTGCCATGACATCGTCTAGTTCTGGGAGGAAGATGTCGAGGAATGGTCTCACGCCCAGGATCTCCCAGATGATGCAGCCGAGACTCCAAATGTCGGATGCATACGATAAGGGAGTCGTCGGATCAAAGCGCGGTTCGGGCGGACGGGTCTTACGAGGCGTAAATGATTGCAGTCGAGTCTCGTGAGCAGGCGAAAAGGCTGTGCCAAAGTCGGCGAGCATAAGCTTAGCCTCAGAGAGACTAAACTCTTCTGCATATTTCCCGAACCAAGCTGGCGTATAGACATATGCTGGGACAGATAGCGACGTGATCGGTTGCTTGTCGGCCCTTACCACCGGCTCTGCCTCTGGGTCGCCATACTTCTCGTAGAGCTCTTTGACGGTAAGCTTGTCAATTTCCTCGCCCGGCAATTGGAGGAGCAGGTTGCCGAGGTGGATATCTGGAAAACGTTAGCGGCATCCCGAGGTAGCCATCGGAACATAACTGACCTCCATGAACGATTCCCAGTCTATGTACACGAGCAACTGCTAGTACAAGTTGGGCAGCGAGAGATCTGGCGGTATCGAGCGGGAACATATCGTAGTCCTTGAGAGCCTCGAGGAGACTGCATCTGGCCGGCGTGGTGACTAAACACGAATGTGTCCCGTTAGGCCCTGTGAGCTCGAAACGGTCGAGAACAGGGGGGATGAGACGGCCACTCCAGTCCTTAGTTGGGCAGGCCGAAAGTCGTTTCAGGATCTGGGCTTCCTTGGAGCCATGGTCCGCGATTCCAATCTTGACTGCCACGTATCTGCTCAGCTTTTCATCTCGTGCGAGCCAGATCGTGGAGTATGATCCGTACTCAAGCTTTTCGATAATCGAGTAACGTTCTTGGAGTTTATCGTTCAGTTGAATTGGGTGATAGCCGCCGGGTCGGTATTCCTCTAATCGTTCGACGTCGTCGACGTACTCATAGAGCTGTCCATCGGTTGCTATCGTTCGCCTGAATGGCCGCAGCGAACGCGCGAAGCATTGCAGGGTTGGGCTTTGCCTTTTAACCAAATGGCATGCAAACGATCGCATATCCTCAAGCTGATGACGGGTTCGAAGTGCAAGTCTGGAACGGTGTCGATGAACGGTTCAAATATCTCGGGTCGGTTTCATGTTGGGCGTGTTGGTGATGGTGATGGATAAAGACCAACCTGTGGCATTGCGCAGGCTCCTTGTTTTGGCACATGATTTCAATTGGTCACTTGCCTGACCAATCAGTGGAGCCTTGATTCGAAAGAAGCGACTGCCCCCCCACGTCAGTCAAATGCAACACAATAACGATGCGCATGCGATGCACCTCAGACATGGCCCATTCATAATACTCGGTCAAGCTGGCCTCGGTTTCAGACGGAAAGTTGGTGACATAGCAAAACCCTCGGCATTTCTGATGGTCTGCGCGATGTTCACTACTTTCAGGGATGTACGAGTATGCCGTTTGATACATCGTCAGCCCCGGCCAAATATTGCGCATCAAGAGCTGCAGCATAGACGATGACGGTGACACAGGCCTTGGTATCAACAAATGGTATTTATATTCTAGAGCTCCATTCGGTCGTATGAGAAGGGCAATGCTTTTGCTCTTAGAGCGTCTGTTCCTCCCCTGTCCCTGTGAATGCAGTGATATGCAGGAAAATTCTGGCACCGGCTTGACGGACGATTCTAAACACAGAATCCTGCTATTCGAACAAATAGGGACTACTTCAAAAGAAACCGATCAAGTTAGTGACCGATCAAGTTAGTAAACCTGCAGGTCAGAAACCTCCAGAGCAAATGAATATTGACCCCAAACCCCGGTATATGCTATGAATGACGGACCTCATCGGTGTCAAGCCCTCATTTGTCTCCGAACTTGTACTGGCGGCAGACAGCAGAGAAGACCAGGACAGCCGACGCAGCCGCAAACATGAACCACCAGCCGTTCTGAAGACTGCGCGCATAGACATCGATAATGTCCTGCAGCTGGTCGCCGTCAAAGGTCTGCCGAATGTGCTGCACATCCAATAGGACAACGCCGACCTGATCAGCTGTGAGGCCCAGCCCCTGCAGGATGCTCTTGAGCCTGTTGAGATAAACGGCGGCAAAGATGGCAATGCCGAAGATGTCGCCGACCGTCTGGATGAAAATGGCCAGGCCCGTCACGACGCCTATTTGGGCTGGGGGCACGGACACTTGACAGCTTAGTAAGAGGGCGGACATGACGGCACCCATGCCGATACCGAGGATGATGAGGACGACGATGGCCTCGGCGCGTGGTGTGTTGGCGTTCCAGCGGGTCATGAGGCCACAGGCTAAAATCTCAAGTCCGGCGCCGACGACGGCGTTAATAATTGTTACACCATACTTGCTGGTGACCCACGCTGCGATGGGGTTGCCTATAATGAGACCGAGCATCTATTCCAGAACGAGAAATGGTAAGTCGGAGCTTTTGCGTTTGTGAGGATGTCGGGCTGCGAATCATTCTCTGACGTACCATAGGCAGGAGACTAATACCGGAGAGGGTGGCTGTGTCTCCAAAGACGAGCTGGAAAAACTGGGGGACGTAGTACATGGTGCCTACATAGACTTCTTGTCAGTAGGCGGTCTTCGGAGATGGAGCTGGCAGGCAGAAGCGGCTATCGCGGTAACCTACCGAGAAGGGTCACACCGAAGAAGAACTCGGCAATGAAGAGGCAGATGAGAGTGCGGCTCTTGAACATGGAGGGGAAGATGAGCGGGTCCTTCGCGAAGTGGATGGAGACGTAGAAAACGACAATCATGGCGAAACCTCCGACCAGAGTGCCGATGACTTTAGCTTCACCCCAGGGGAAGATGTTTCCGCCCCACTGAAGGCCGAGAACGAGGGTCGTGGTGCCGCCGGAGATGAGGACGGTGCCGAGGTAGTCAAACTTGAGGAACTCCCCCTTGACGGTGGTGTTTCTGTTATGGGGAAGCTTGAGAACAATGGCGACAATGACAAAACTGATGGGTGAGATGATGAGGTTGATCCAGAAGCACCATCTCCATGTCGCGTATCTGTAGTTACAAAAAGTGTAAGCAAATGATAGAAGATTGCGTAGAAGCGATGGACAGTGAGACCACGTACTGAGAAAATGCACCGCCTAATAAGGGTCCGGCAATGTCTGCGATACCCCAGACGATGGCGGTGACGGCAAGGTACTTGCCTACATCTTGGAGTGGCACAAGGTCGGTTAGAATGACCTGAGAAGGTTAAGATCAGTTATGGAGGCCAAAAATATCAATACGTTGAATGCAATTCAAGGTCACCCACATTCACAAGGCCGTAAATGCCACCAGCACCGAGACCCTGCACCGCGCGGGACGCAATCAGCATGTTCATGCTGTTGGACCAGCCGCAGAGGGCACTCCCAACGATGAAGACCACGGTAGCGGCAAGGAAGACGTTCTTGCGGCCAAAGGCGTCGCTGAGCTTGGAGGTGATGGGCATAATAATGGCAAAAGTGATGAGGAAGCTGGTTCCGAGCCACGCAGAGTTATTGTATTCCTTGAACTCGGAGGAGATGATGGGCACAGCTGTGGCAACAATGTTGAAGTCGAGCGCCGTCAGCAGCATGCCGACGTTGAGACCCAGCATGGCGAGCCAGAACTGACGGACCGTCAGGCCTGCCTTGGCTCCAGGCGGCATCTTCGACGGTGGTTCATCCTGCGAGGCGGCGGCGGCGTCTTGCTTTTCGATGTCGACGCCTACCTGCGAGGAGTCAGTCACCGGCTCGTCGAGACACGGCTTGGCGCCCTTGTCTGTGGTTGTAGTGGCAGCGGACATTTCGGAGATGGCGGCAGTAACTGCAAGCTGTCGAAATCGGTGGACAGGAGGAGGCCGGGCGAGACGTCGATTCGAGGAGTAGAAGGGATGTATTAGAGACGGACAATTGGATGGGAGAGGAGGAGAGAAAGAGCATTTGCCTCTCTTATTGTGCACCTGTTCTTGTCCGGCAGCGACATGCAGAGCTGAGGAAGGACCCCTTCTTTCGGCGACGCGGGTGCAGATGCAGGTGCCAGGGGGCCAACCAAGTGCCGGCCCATGGAAACAGGGCGATTAGCAAAGCAACGACCCCACCAACAAGCCGATGACACAAGCATACTGAGAAGCCACGGATCCGGAGCAACAAAAGTTAAGCTACTGTTCTTTGCATAACACGTCACGGTATGCGTTTCCGCAGTCCAATTGTCACATCCTCGAGCGGAAGAAAGAACGATGCACGATACAAAAGATGCGTGTGGGTCTCGATTTTAAACGTGCATTAGCGTCGGCGACGGTCGGCGACGCTAACAGAGTGGGGCCGACAGACGGTCATTGGGCGGAGCGGCGCAGGCCGGCGCCGGCACGTTCCTTTCTTTACAGTCCACGCGCCGCTATACCGCACGCAAGACCGACACTATTCTATCACACTTGTCCTGGTCTTCTCGAATCTTGCCCTGGCATTGATTTCCATCTCTTGTGTTCCGCATCCAACTCCTGTTGATTCGGCAGCGCCAGCGAGCTGATGAACTGCGCAGAGGAAATCAAAGCGAGGAGTACAAACTATGGCCCGATGGTCAGTAAGATAACGGGCGTGACAAAACGCCGGCGGATGAGACTGAAAAGAAACGTACGCTTGCGTGGAAGTCAAAGGGCGCGATGAGGCTGTTTCCAAGACTCCACGACCACGTGAACCCCCCAAGCGACGGCCCAACAGCGCGCGCAAAGGAGCCTACTGACTGGCCGAGACCATTGATCAGCGCCCTCTCTTCTGGTTTGACCATGTCGTTTGACTGTAATACAACATCGTAAGCATGTGCATTGTGACCGCAGCCGGAATGCAACGTACCATGATTTGCAAGCTCGCTAGACCAACGACCATAGCGGCGTATCGGAGAAGAATAAGCACAATCAGCGGAACCCACAACCCAACCGGAGTCCCTTCAGAATGCCCATGAGTAGCAGCAAGCTTGGGTAGAAGCGAGAACAAGGGGTACAAAACGAGGGACACCAGAGCTGCAAGACGGTAGAGCGGCATGGACGTGAACCTTTGGTGCAGCACCGGAAACCACAGCAGAGCTCCAATCATGGCAGGCCCTGCATATGCGAGCGAACTAGCGATTTGTCGCGGCTGGAAGGAGAGACCAACGCCCCGAGACGAGCTTGACGCTGCGAACAATGCGTATAGTTCGTCGAAACAGATAATGTGGACGAAGTAGAAGCTGCAGGAATGTTCGGTCAGCATGGATGTCGTCGCAAAAGACAGTTGAAAAATTAGGAACAAGAACTAGCTTGCAGGAAGAGTCACTGACAATGATGATAGCAAAAGAAAACCCTGTGCTCGACGAAGATTAAGGGGCTGTTCCTTGGCGCTCTGGTGGTGCGACAAGTGACCTGTACCAGAGTTGTACCGGCCTGGAGGAAGGAGGCGAGAGCTTTCATTTTCCCCGGTCTCATCGCTGTCGTTGTAATCAACACAAAGGGCTGCTTGCTCTGCAAGCTTGCCTGTTTCGGTGAGAAACAGCAGAGCCAAGGTCCCAACGCTCAAGTTGTAGACTGTACTGAACAAACATGGCAGGAGAAATGGGTACGTCTCGAAGAGTCTGCGAGGGCCACTAAGCCCCAATTGTTCGGCTGGGCTGGCGAGTGAACCTCCAATGAAGGGACCGACTGATCACCTTGTTAAGATCACGCTTCAAGACGAAAGACACGGCCATATTGACGTGGGGAAAGAGGAAGAGACGAACCCATCCAACCAACACCGATACAGAAGCCAAAGATGCTGAAGGCTCCGCCTTTTGCAACTCCTGTTGCTTCAGCCAGCTCACCGACCATGGTTCGTGAGACGGCGAGGTTGCCGTTCAGTAAGCCACAAAGCGCACGGCTCGCAATAGCCCAGGGTAGCGATTGCGAAGTCCCAAAGAGAATCATGGCAAAGGCGGTGCCCACGAGTCCGAAAATGAGACAAGGCTTTCTGCCAATACGGTCCGAGATGATGCACCAAACTGGCGTCGAGACCATCTGCACGAGGAAAAAGGCCGAGGCTGAAGTTTGCGCGACAAACATCATCAGTACTTGCTTTTCTGCCGAGGTCGAAGTTCGGGACCAAGGGCATCATTTACTCAATAGGCCAGCCTTTCCTCCAATTTCAGTTTCTTCGTAACCAAAGTCCTTGACCATGAAGTACACAAAGGGTAGCAATATAGTTGAAGAAAGCGGCTCGGCCATGCAGAGGAAAGCCAGAATGTCAGAGCGTTGTTTAGAGCAGAGTAAAGGGGTCTTCCGCAGGGTCCGCAGATAGATAGATTATAGGTATAGGATAGGAATATATCTAAATTCTAGCCCTCCGCAGCTTAGGGGGGCTATCCGCAGCCTATATATACGTTCTCTCCGGGCCCTTAGCTCCCTAGCCAGCCCCTTAGCTTGGCAGCCCCTTGTGGGCTCCGCAGGGGTCCTGACATAGAACGACGAAGTTTCGTCGCACGTGGCGCCTTGCGTGCTCTAAGTCATTGGTCGGTACTGTGATGGCTATCGAAATGATGTGTTTGACTGGCGGATGTTAGGATGGTTTAGAGGACATGCAAAGTTCCTCAACGCGATACAGCGAGCATAAAGAATAAATCAAATTAAAGATATTTAACAAAGACAATTTACAAGCTACACATTACGATTACGAAGTCCGTATCTACCCCGGAAGACTTTTTCACAGCCGCCATCCTGTAAAAATGAGCTTCAAGGACCATATCCATCTAGTCCAAGACCACAATCTCGTGCCGACATACGCAGAGAAGTAAAAGGTAGCACCACCGGGCTATGAAGCGGGTCAGCTAGGCGGCGACATGGAGTAGCGGCCGCGGCCCGCATAAGTGCAGGGTCAGACCGCAATGGTCAGCAAGCCTGCATGCATGCTTGCGCGACATGGGTTTAAGACCGTTAACTCCAGCAACGAAAGGCGGTTATAAACGAAGGAGTCGGCGAAGGGCGGCAGGAAAACGGCGACATTACATGCGTGAACCTTTTGCGAGGCCACACCCTTGCCAATCCCCGCGACGCAAACAAACCCAAAACATCTCTCTCCTGCATTGTGTACCTCAACAAAAGCGATGTCCGCACTGCGGTACGTCACTAAGCTCCAGGGCCGGCGGCTTCTGGTCCTTGGGGGCAGCTCCGGTATTGGTTTCAGCGTCGCCGAAGCGGCGCTCGAGCACGGCGCCGATGTTATCATTAGCAGCAGCAACGAGGCCAGACTGCGTAAGGCTGTCGACCGCTTGCGTACCGGCATCGTCAACCCCGCGATCCCGCTAGGTAGCGGGCCGGGTTCAGAAAATCAAAGCAGTGGTAGCGGCACCCTGAGCGAGGAATCGCCGCGCATCTCTAGCGTCACCTGCGACCTGGCGAATGCGGCCACGCTCGAGAAGAACATCGCATCGGCGCTCGAGTTGGCCACGGCCGGACGCACATGCCTACTGGACCACGTGGTTTTTACTGCCGGCGCACCCTTGAAGATTGTCAAGGTGCCCGACGCGACTGTGCAGGCCGTTCAGGACACCAACCTTGTGCGCGTCGTTGCACCTATCATCCTGGCCAAGCTCCTTCCGCTCTACACGCACCAGTCGGCTGCCAGTTCGCTCACCCTCACCAGTGGCGTCACCACGAACCGGCCGACCCCTGGCTGGGCCCTTCTTGTCAGTGCTGGGGCGGCAGTCGAGGGCCTGGCTCGTGGTCTCGCCGTCGACTTGAAACCCCTTCGTGTGAATGTCGTGTCCCCTGGGGCTGTCCACACCGAGCTGTTTGCCGACATACCCGAGGAGAGGTTGCAGTCGGTCCTCGATACGTTTAAGACAAATTCTCTCACCGACACAGTGGGTACGCCGGGGGAGCTCGCTGAGGCCTACCTCTACTGCATGAAGAACACGTTCGCTACCGGCAGCGTTATTGTTGCAGATGGCGGTAGACTGCTTATTTAACTTACACAGGCTTTCGCTGTACACCTTCTTATTTCAAGCAATATAAATAAAACGGATTGGTGAAGGTATGAGGACGATCAAGCCAGTGATTCATTTTGGGCAGTAAACGTTATGTGTATCATTGTTTCTTCACTTGATCAAAGCTCTTCCAATAGGCTCTGCTGGCTGTCCTGGCCAGATTCTACAGTACAGGGGTTGACCAGCTCGAATGCAAGCGGTACATGGTGTCGCCGATGCAGTTCAGCCACGGTGCGGTAAGCTGCGTGGCAATCGTGATTCTCCCGCGATCCTTGCGTCGCCCCTGTCAGCAGCCTTCGCGTTCCAACAGCGTAGGCCCCGTTTTCTTCGTCAAAGTAGCTGACAGCCAGGTTGCCCAGGTCGCCGCGACCAACATTGATGAGTGAGGCGACGTAGTCAAAGTCCATGGCGGGTCTTTTGGCCTTGTCCGAGTTGGCAAAGTTGACAGCGTGTACACGACACTCAGTGGAAGTGCATTCCCCCTTTGTGCTGTATTCGTACCAGTCGAATGTGGTCGAGTTGGGGCGGCATTGGTCATGACCAGATGAAGGATCGGCTGGGAGCCACCTGTATCAAGGCAAATATTGTCAGCAACATGACATTGGTCCATGGCAACTTCTCGTAGGTGCTTGGGAAGGGAACACACCACCCGAAGCTCAGATAGCCTGACGGCATGGCAAAGCAGTAAAAGTTGGATGCTGAAAATGTCGCATTGCCTGGATAGTGTGACTCTTTGGGCGGTGTGATGAGGATAGAGTTGCCCTGGAATATCATCAACGGCGTGGCCGCCGCCAATGTGACAAACGGAAGCATGGGGAGAGTTATAGCCAGAAGGAGGAGGCAAAGCAAAGGTAAGGAAGTGTGGAAAGTCGCGAAGCGAAGGCTTCACCAACAGGTCGCTTTGTATTCTCCATATACCTTAAGAAGCACGTATATCAGGCTCGGGTAGAGGCCAATCGTCAAGCGATGCTTCGATCGTCCAGGAATGAGGAAATACATGGGTTGAGGACCATATTGGCTGAACAACAAGCCAATCATGCAGCGATGGAATATGGCCCTGCAGGACTGGGCCTGGGCCGACAGCACCCCGAGACGCCAGTGTCGCCGCGTGCGTGCGCCGCTCATCAGCTTGCGCCGCTCGCTACATGCCGATCGGCGGCCCGCCCGCCGCCGCCGTCGGTGTCTACCAGCCAGGGAAATAATTTAGAGGCAGAACCTTGATGCCGAAGAGCTCCGAAACGGCCAGCTAACTCCATCCGCTATATTGTGTCTGCCGACGAGGCCGGCCGGTAGATCCTGCCGAAGAAACATGCTGTCATCTGGTTGGCATTGGGCAAACGGGGCGATCGGTTCAGTACGGGAACTTAACACCGATGGGCGGGGTTTCTGCCCTCAAGGGTGTTTACTGCAAATAACAGAAATAACGCCATTAGAAGTGAGATTTTATGTACAATAGTTGATGCGAATAAAGGTTCCTGAGGCCATCCTTGCTTGGATGATATCCTCATATATACCAAAGATAAACAGTTTTCAAGGCTTTTTCTCCTCTCGATTCCCTCAGCGTCGACAGTTAGCGACGTTCCTCACGGCCTTTCACAATTTTACCCTATCACTAAAAGCCACCCTGTTATATCGTTATCATGTCTGGCGGCCAAGAAAAGTCTCCTATTGCCATCATTGGCATGTCATGCCGCGTTGCCGGCGCCGACAGCCCGTCCCAACTTTGGGATGTTTTGGCTTCGTCCAAAGATGTGCAGTCGCGCACCGAGCGGTTTAATTCGGCAGGCTTTTATCGACCAGACGGATCCAAGAAAAAGGGCGTCACCAACGTCGACCGGGGTTACTTTATGCAGGGAGATGTCAGCCGATTTGACAACCTGTTCTTCTCCATTCCGCCCCTTGAGGCAGAAGCCATGGATCCCCAGCAGCGGATGCTGCTTGAGCTGACTTACGAGGCCGTGGAAAACGCGGGCTTGCCCTTAGACAACTTCACTGGGAGCAACACGGCAGTATACACAGGTGGGTTGACTCGAGCGGTCACAGAATCAACAAGGAAGAGAATTGCTGATCAAAATTCGCCCCACTTCTAGGTATGACGTGGAACGACTACGCCATCAGCCTGTTTCGCGATGTTGATGCGACGCCGAAGTACATGTCGACCGGTGCGTGCAGCGCCATTGCTGCGAACCGTGTCAGCTACTTTTTCGATCTCCACGGCCCGAGTCTGGTCCTTGATACAGCATGCTCGTCGACCATGTACGCTCTACACCACGCCGTGGCTGCTCTGCATGCAGGCGAGGCCGAAATGGCTGTTGTTAACGGGTCCAATCTTATACTGAACCCAGACATATTTGTTGCCATGTCCGAGATGGACTTCCTCAGTCCCACGGGGCGGTGTCGCACCTTTGACGCCGCTGGAGACGGCTACGTGCGTGCTGAGGGCGTCTTAGCCCTTCTCCTCAAGCCTCTGGACAAGGCTCTTCAGGATGGCGACCCGATCCGCGCCGTCGTCAGAGGCACCCGCGTCAACCAAGACGGTAGAACTCAGGGATTGACCCTTCCCAGCTCCGAGGCCCAGAGGGCCAATATGCAAGGGCTGTACGCTGAGAGCCGTCTCGACCCGGCGGACGTGCAGTACTTCGAGGCACACGGTACCGGCACGGCCGCTGGTGATCCATTGGAGGTGTCCGCCATAGACGAGGTCTACGGGCGTCCTGCTTCTTCTGATGAGAGCCAGCGCCCGCAAAAGCTCGTTGTCGGCTCAGTCAAGAGTAACGTCGGCCACCTCGAGGCAGCGGCAGCCCTTGCTGGCCTCGTCAAAACGGTTGAGGCGCTCGAAAGAGGCTTCATCCCGCCCCAGATGCACTTTACTACACCTAACCCAAAGATTGACTTCACCCGCCTCGAGGTGCCCACAAGCTTGATGCCTTGGCCAAAGACCCGAGATGGCGTGCGACGGGCTGCTATCAACAGCTTCGGCTTTGGGGGCTCCAACGGGCATGCTGTACTCGAACACTATGACCACAGGGATGGAGCTGCGAAGGCCGTTTCATCACCATCCTATGACCGCTCTTTTCTATTTAAGATCTCAGCGAATAATGATGCAAGCCTTACTGAAGCCTCCAAACGCCTTATCGACTACATTGCTCGGCACGACCCAACGCCCATAGACCTCGCTCACACGCTTCTGGCTCGGCGTTCAACGCACAAGAGATCCATCATGCTAACCGCTTCTTCCACCTGCGAACTCGCACAAAAGCTCGCCGACAACGATGTCAATCCGCAGGAAAAAAGCACCGGCAAACCGAAAAGGGTGGCATTCATCTTCACTGGCCAAGGCGCGCAATGGTATGTAGTTTGACCTCGCGATTGGAACTTGTCAAGTCTGCATCTACCTCAGAACAAAATTGAGATTGACTTATACACGCAGGCCATCTATGGGGTAGCAACTCATCGATGCATCTCCCCTCTTCCGAGCTATCGTCAAGCAGAGTGACGAGGTCTTGCACAGTCTCGATGACGGGCCAAGCTGGAGCGCCATGGAGGAGCTGAGCAAGCCTAAGCAGACATCGCGCGTGTACGAATCAGCCCTGTCGCAGCCGCTTTGCGCCATCCTCCAGATTGGTCTCGTTGAATTGTGGCGGTCCTGGGGCGTTTCGCCAGTCGCCGTTGTGGGACACTCATCGGGTGAGATAGGTGCGGCGTACTGCGCTGGCATCATGCCCTTGCGTGACTGTGTCATTGCCGCATACTACCGCGGCCTATACCTCGGCAGCGGAGCTTCAGAAAAGCAAATAGAGACGGAGAGCGCCCCCGAGCTCAAGGGCAGCATGTGCGCCGTAGGCCTCGGAGAAGATGCCGCCAAGGACGTCCTCAAGGCATACCCCGGCCGTCTAGCTCTGGCCGCCGTGAACTCACCCAGCAGTTGCACGTTATCCGGCGACGAAGACGCCATCCTGGAAGTTGTCGAAAGTTGCAAGGCCAATGGGACTTTCTGCCGACAGCTGAGGGTGGACATGGCGTATCATTCCCACCACATGTTGCCAAAGGCGCCTAAGTATGAAGCCGCTATGGTGGCAGCGGGCGTTGGCAACGCTCATGCAGATGACGATCGTGCCCAGGCAACTTCTGGCTGCCGCATGTTCTCGTCCGTCCGCGGTCGCGAAGTGATGTCAAGAGACTGTTCGCCTGCCTACTGGAAGGAAAACATGGTATCGACTGTGTCTTTTGTCGCTGATCTCACAGTGCTGAGCCGTCATGCGGCAATCGATGCTCTCGTCGAGCTGGGCCCCCATCCAGCACTAAAGGGGCCGGTCCAAGACACACTTGCGTCTCTCAGCATGGGGGAGCTCCCCTACTTCTCCTCCCTCTTGCGCGGCGAGCCCGACTTTCAGGCGCTGTTGTCCTCTGCTGGCTCTATGGCTTTGTCTGGCTTGGACCTGGACCTCGTTCACATTAATGCCTTTGAATCAGTTGTTCAGGACCAGACCACCGTCAAGGTCAAGGGCGCTACCCCTCCTGTTGCAGTACATCACAAAGGGGCGGGTGCTCACTGACCTACCAGGCTATGCCTGGGATCACTCGACGTCTTTCTGGGCCGAGTCGCGCATCTCCAAGAATTACAGGCTCCGAGAACACCCGCGTCACGATCTCCTCGGCGCGCGGAAGTCGTCGGACAACCCTCTCTCCATGTCCTGGCGCAACCTCATTAGCCCTAAGGAGGCACCATGGTTGGCAGAATGGATAGTAAGAATCCCCTACTCCCGTGGGAAATGGCATTGATCAGCTCATGTGTCTAACCTACTGGCAGAACCAACCTCATGCAACGGTTTTACCCTGGTCCATGCATGTGTTGATGGCTGTCGAGGCTGCCCGACAGGCATCATCCTCATCTACAGACGTCATCCGAATTGAAAGGCTCAACCTGCACCAAGATCTGTTGCTCTCCACATTCACGTCTGATGATACTGTAGTCGAGTTTCATTTCAATCTACATCAGGTGGCCACGGCGGGATCTCACTACACCTTCAGCATCGAGGCTGGAGTGTCAGCTCCCGGCGCAGTTTGGACCAAGTTGTCTTCAGGTATGGGGTTCAGACATGAAATGGCGAGTCTGGAGCATTTACTAACCTTCTGGTCGAACAGGATCTATCACCCACATGTCTAGCGAAGCAGCATCGTTACTACCCTCACTGCATGCTTTCAACCCCGGAAGCAAAGTCCGACATGACGAGAGAGGCCTTAAGCGCGCCCAATCCTTTCCAGTGCCGACACTGGAAAGGACGTCAGGTCTTCAATTCAACTCGACAGAGGCCGCGGCGCTGCTATCAGACAACCCCCTTGGTGCCTGCAGCCCGTTAGCCCTGGACGCGGTGCTCCGGCTTCCAACACTCATGCTCCTCGGTGCCCCGCTGCCACCGAGCCAGTACCGATTGAGATCGATCCAAGACATCGAGGTCAGCACGAGACGCCTCGAATATTCAGACTTAGACGGACATGAAGTCCCTTCCATTGTCACGAGCAGTGCTCCTATCAACGGAATAGCACTCGCTAACGCCAAGATTCTGGCCAAGGATGGCGAGACGTTGATGGACCTCCGCAACGCAGAGTACGTGGCAGTGGCCCCTTTACTGGCAGACCCTGCCCTCGAATCTTTATTCTTTCAGCGCAAGATTCTTCCCGACATAACGTACGCAGGCAACTCTGACTTGGACTATGACTCTGGCACAGGCCAAGAAGGCCACGCTTTCTTGAGTCTGACCAGATTCTTCGAGCTTCTCACGCACAAGTGGCCCATGTCTGATCTCGCGATTGATGTTGGCAATGATGACGGACTTGACTCCGCGGCGTACCACGTCGCATCGGGCCTTCGGAAACTGAGCTGGTCAACCAACAGGTCACGGTTCAGATCTCTCACCATCGTCAACCAGAGCATTGACGCCTCAGAAAGCGGAACAAGTGTTACCAACAAATGGCCAATTGATAATCGTCTCAGCGTCATCCCCTCACTCGATTCGGATCCTGACGCCCAGTTCCATGCCGTTTTTACCCTGTCAGACCGATACGAATCCGCCTTGAGTCGCGTGCACCCATCTGGCTTCATATGCTTACTCAAGAAAACCAAGAGTGAAGAAGATAACCGGCCTGATAGCCATGACGGTGCGACACAGTTCACATGGCCATCCAATCTTGAGCCCGTATATTCCGTCCAGAGCAAAGAAGGCTGGGATTGGATCATTGGAAGACGCCGAATTCAGAAGAGCCTGACTGGTTCCGAGACCGATGCTGCCGAAAGAAGCGAATCTACCAGCTCTAGGATTGGGGTTCGGGTCTTTGCGCCAGCCGAGTCACTGCCTCGCAGCTTCAGGCTTGCAGATTCACATTTCGAAGTTCAGGATGTTTCCGCGTTGCGAGACGAGTCGTTGTTCTCCGAACCGTTCGACGCCATCATCCTCGACACTGGTGATAGCTCGATTCTACTGCGAGACGCCGCAGGCCCAGATGAGTCTCTCACGTGGACGCAGAGTCTCGTGGGGCACGTACAAACACTGGTTTGGGTGTCTTCGGCGTCCACAGCGCAGCCTTTCAACGGTGTGGATGGCGCGTTCATCCGAACTCTCGCCACGGAGAACCCCCGTTTCCGAGGCGTGAGCATCGCCGTAAGCAAGAACGTGGGGGATAGTGAGCTGGAAGATTTGTGCAGTCAGATTTATGAGCGCACCAGGGATGGAGACGCCGAAGTTGAGCTATACATACAAGACGGCGCCGTCCATTGTCTCCGCTACCACCCGGATGACGAGCTCTCGGCGTCGGTCGACCTGGTCCCCGCAACTCGAAACAGCGCGCCTCATGGCTTCGAGTACAAAATCAATGGCGTCGGTAACGGCCGTGTCGAGATGATCACCACTGTTCCATCGTTACCCAATACAGCACGGGCCTGTGGCTCTGAACCCCTTGTCAGCGTGTTGGTAGAGGTTTCCCTCGTTGGTGGCGAGGACGTTGCCAAGATTCATGGCACCAGTGGCCCGCTCGCTCGCGAGGGACTGGCAGCTTTCTTCATCGGCAGGACGCTGGAAACAAGTGATCCAGATAGACCATATGGCAACCGCGTCTTCGGCTGGTGCTCCGGTGCCCACGCTTCTACGGTATACGTCCACACCAGCCAGATGATTCACCTCGCAGACCATGTAACTGCTGATGATGCTCAGCATGGTAAGAGTAACCTTGGCCTCGTGCGCGCCCTTGGCAGACTGGCGTCACAAGCTACAGCTGCGTGCCTCGTCGCCTTCGAGGGAAGGGTTCGCCAAAACGACAGGATAAGGGCGAACGAACTGTCGGCCGCCATCAGGATCGCCGTGACCAGTGTCGCTGCCAGGAACTCTGCAATGGTTGTAGACAGCGACTCGGACAACGGCCATCGGCAAGAGGAGTCAGCTCACGACCTTGAAATATCATATGACGGGAGCAGCGGCTTTCTAGTCAACGGCCGCCATGTGCGTCTTGCATCTGTACTGGAAAGATATGCCCTGACCACGGTCCTGGCCGCCAGTGCCCCCCTGGACGCCAAGTCTCTGCCCGAGACTGAGGTCTTTGGCATTCAAGACTTCGCTGAAGCATTCGATTATGCAGCGAAGAATCCCCTCTCTACCACCATACTTCGACACGCTGGTGGGCTCGGATCCCTCAACACTGCCTGGATCACACCGAGAACGACTGCCACCACCGACGAAAAGCAGGAAGAAGAGCAGCTCTTCCGAGGCGACGGCGCGTACATTGTCCTCGGTGGCTTGGGCGGTCTCGGTCGACATCTTTTACCCTGGATGGTCAAGAATGGCGCCAAGCACGTCGTGGCCCTGGGTCGCAAATCACCGCTCTCAACTGACGGTACGCTCGAACTCACAGATCGCATAGCCGGCCTCGGCGGCAGACTAAGCATCCTTCAGGCCGACGGCAGTCAAACAGACGAGGTCGAGGCCGCGCTCGCTCAGGTTCGCACCGAATCGCCAATCAGGGGTATCATAAACATGGCTATGGTGCTTGCTGATCGGCCCTTTGCGACCATGTCCGCGGAGGAGTGGCACCGTTCGATCCAGGCCAAAGTGCACACCTCGTGGAACCTCCACGGCGCCACGCTTCAAGATGATCTCGACATATTTGTCCTCTTCTCCTCGGTCGTGTCCATGACAGGCAACCGCATGCAGGCTAACTATGCCGTGGGCAACGCGTTCCAGAACCGTCTCGCCGCCCACCGCCGGTCCCTGGGGCTCACCGGCGTCTCCCTGGCCCTGCCCCCGATGCACGGCGTCGGCATTCTTGCCGGTAACGATGGCCTCCTGGAGTATTTCGACCAGGCAGGCCTTGCTCCGGCCGGGCCTGACGAGTTGACCTCGCTCATGAAGGCCGCCGTGTACGAATCGCGCCGGGCGTCTGGCGCATCCTTCATCGGCGCGGGCCTGCAAATGTTCAACAAGATCGATGGCATCATCCAAGCCAAACCGACCCAAACGCAAATGTTCTGGGTTGAGCAGCCCGAATTCAGCTTTTTGATGGACCACCAGCGATCCTCGGGCAACTCCGGCGGCGCGCGAGGCGACGAGCCGCTCCGTGAGAGAGTAACCAAGTCGTTGGACCACGATAAGGAGGAAGGCGAGGTGACAAAGGCACTCATCATGAAGAGCTTCCTTCAAAGCCTTGCAAATCTTCTCGGCTACACCGTTGAGGCGTTTGATCCTCGATCCCCCATCGCCGCCTACGGCCTGGACTCCCTCAACGCCGTCGCATGTCGGTACTGGTTCTTCAAAGAGCTGGCCGTCGACGTGCCCGTCTTTGACATCCTCGGTTGCAGGTCTATCCTGGAGCTGGTAGCGAGAGTATTTTCGAAACTCAGGGCTCAAGTTCTTGATGCCTCGGCGCCAGAGTCTTCGTCATCTGCCTTTCCGCTGGTCAAGCTTCCCGACCCTCGACGGCTCGATCCTGAAGCGTCGCGGCCGCTGTCATACTCACAGCAGCGCCTCTGGTTCCTGCACAACTTCCTCTCGGACAAGACGGCGTACAACCTCCTCCTTGTCTGCCACATCGACGGCACTGTCAGATCTGATCTTCTCCGCAAGACCTGGGAGGTGCTGCTTCATCGACACGAGGTTCTCAGGACTCGCTTCATTGACACGCCAAAGGGTCAGCAGCAAGTCGCCGTTGACGCGTCGGATACTGGCTTCCAGTTCACGACAGTGGAGGTTGATTCCGCTGCTGATGACGCGGCATTTGATGCCAAGGTGAGGGAACTTGAGATGGCTGCCCAGTCATACAACTTTGATATATCTCGGGGTGAATTAGTCCGTTGTTGGCTCCTCGTGTCACCTTCGTCCTCAGCAACACGCCGTTCCCGGCTTTTCCTCGCGTCTCACCACCTGCCATGGGACAGAACATCAACAGCCGTCGTCTTTGACGAGATCACCACAATCTATAAATCACTACTGCGAGGCGAGGCGCCACAGCAAAATCTCGAGCCTCCCGCGTTCCAGTTTGCTGACTACGCATCCTGGCAGCGCCAGTGTATCGACCAAGACACGTTCCGCGAGCCGCTGGTCGGGTACTGGCAGACGCAGCTCGAGGGAGCCCCAGACGCTGTATCTCTACTACCACTGGCGCACGCAGACCAGAGGCCGCCAGTGAAGCAGCTCGAGACGGGCACAGCAACCCTTCGTCTTTCGAAAGAAGTCGGCGCCGCCATCAAGACGTTCTGCGCCGCCCACGCCATGACCCCCTTCATGTTTATGACGGCGGCCGTCGCCGCCCTCTTCCACCGGCTGACCGGCGACGAGGACGTTGTCATCGGTGTAGCAGACGGCGACCGCGGCCATTCGGCTTTCGACCGCCTCGTCGGCTTCGCCGTCAACATGCTGCCCATCCGCTCCCGCATGGCGCCCGACATGCGCTTCCTCGACCACCTCGACAGCTTCCGCGAGGCGTGCCTCGGCGCCTACGCCCACCGAAGCCTCCCATTTGACTACCTCGTCCACAAGCTCGCCGTCCCACGCAGCACGGCTCACGGCCCCATTTTCCAGATCACCGTCAACTATGTCGTGCACGGCTCCTTTGCAACAGCCGACTTTGGCGACTTCAAGTTTGTCGAGTATGACCACTTCAACGCACGCTCGCAGTCCGATGTGGGCCTCGACATCGAAGAGGCCATGGATGGCGCGCTGAACTGCGTCTTCGAGTTCGACACGGCGCTGTACTCGGAATCAGCAATCGAGGAGCTGGCCCGCATGTACGAGAACCTCATGGTGCACGCCATGGAGGCCGGCGGCGAGACGGCCCTGCGCGACGTTAGGCTCGCCTCGCGCGAGGATGACGAGGCCGTGGCCGCTATCCTTCGACCCCGGTGGGATGCAGACTTGATCCAGCTGTGTGAACAGACATTGTTCCCGCAGCTCTTTGACGAATCGGTGAAACGCTATGCGCACAAGATTGCCGTCGTCGACGAGACGACCAGCTTGACCTACCTCGAACTCGACCAGCGCGTCAATGCAATCGCACATATACTGATCACTTCAGGAGCTCAACCTGGCGAAGCAGTCGGCGTCTACATAGAGTCGGGCGTCGACCTGGCCGTCGCCATCTACGGCATCTGGAGAGCAGGGTGCGCCTTCGTAGCCATTCACGACGTGCCCGAAGAGCGCCTGCGTTCCATGATAGAGGACGTCGATCTGCAAAGAGCCCTCGTTGACGCGACAGGTCGCGAAGGGAGCCGGGCGCACGAGCTGATCGCCGCTGGCCTCGAGTCCCGCCATGTCCACAGGATCGACCAGATCCAGACCATCGGGCAGTTCAGCGCGCCGCCTCAAATCGCGCGACCCGTCAGAGGCGACGATCCCTTGTGCTGCATCTTCACGAGCGGCAGCACCGGTCGACCGAAGGGCTTGTTCCTGAGTCACTTGCAGTTGCGCATGTGGTACCGCGGCTACTATGAGACAACGGTTGGTATTTCTGCCGACGCCACGCTCTTGCTGGCCTCGGTGCCGACGTTTGACATGTCGCTGGTGTCGCTCTTCTCGGCACCGGCGTGTGGAGGTACTCTCGTCGTTGCATCGCGAGAGGCGCGCTACTCGCCCTCGAGCATGATGAACCTCATCCTCGCCAACGGCGTCACGAGCATGACCGTGACTCCGTCCCAGCTCGGTGCTTTGCTAGCCGGCGTCGGCAGAAGCAGCAGAGATCCGAGTTCCTGGCCCCTGCGAAGCTTAGTCCTCGGCGGCGAGGTGGTCCCCGCCAAGGTCGTCCGCGATTTCTTCGCCCTTGGGCTGCCGTTTGCTCGGCTCTGGAACGGTTATGGTGAGTTGGCTCTTGTTCACCACATGAGCTTGATGCCCCTGCTGTTCGACCAACTTGCGCCGAGGTGGACTTGCTGACTCGTTCGTTCGTACAGGACCCTCGGAGACTGCCCTTTCTGTATCCCTCAAAGAGTAAGCTCAACCAAGCTTTCCATTTCTGTTTCGCATACATTGACCAGTTTCATAGAATCACCAAACCGGAGACAGCATCTCGTCTCGCGCCGCCGCACTTTCCAGCAACTCTCCGCGTCGTCGACGACCGGGGAAGGCCGGCGCCGTTCGGGGTCCCTGGCGAGCTCTACATCGGCGGCCCTGGGGTGTGCGAAGAGTACGTCAGGCGCCCAGAGATGACGGCGGCGGCGTTCATTCCCGACGCCAACGATGCTGCCGACAACAGCATCTCGCGTAGATTGTATCGGACGGGGGATCTGTTCATCGTGCACAGAGACGGGACCTTGTCCGTCAAGGGCAGGATAGGCGGCGATCGGCAGGTCAAGATCCGCGGCATGCGCACGGAGCTCGGCGAGATTGAGACGGCCATTTGGGCCGCCCTCGAAGACATCCTACCGGCCCTCACGACTGACGACGTTGACCCGGTAGTCGTTACCGCCGTCGCTGTGGTGTACCGGCCACGCGAACAGCTCATGGCTGCCTACCTCGTGGCGGCGGGTAACACAGTCGATGACATGACCAACGAAGATCAACAGCCGAAGGCCCGCCAGGAACTGGCACGAGCGCTGAGATTCTCCCTGCGCGCCGTGCTGCCGGTGCACATGAATCCCGGTGCGTATGAGTTCCTCGAGGAGATGCCGTCCAGCTCGGCGGGCAAGACGGATTACAAGAGCATCCTTGCGCTCCCTCCGCCAGTGGCTGAAGCCGCGGCTCACAACTCCTCGAACGACCAGAGCTGGTCTGAACTCTCCGGAATTCAGCAAGTCCTGGCCGAGATTTGGAGAGAGGCTCTCGTGTGGGGTGTCACCAGTGTGCCCGTGGCGCCTGTCGAGGATTTCTTCGCTGTCGGCGGCCACTCGCTGGCCCTCGTCAACGTTCAGAACCTCATTGAGGACAAGTGGAACGTCTCGGTGGCTCTCGCCGACCTGTTTGCCTGGCCGTCACTTCAGGGCATGGAAAGGCTGGTCCTCGATGCCCTGGCATCGCTGGCCACGTCCTCGACCGATTCTTCCCCTGCAGACACCACCGCCGCCGGAAGCGACACGGACGTTTCGGCCCCCGAGAGCGATGCCGGCGAGGAAGCAGTCGACTGGAAGGCGGCAGCCATCCTTCCCTTTGCCATCGACAAGACGGTCCGCTACGCGCCGCTTCATCCTCCTACGGCTATCATTCTCACCGGCGCCTCCAGCATGTTCGGCATCCATCTGCTCCACCATCTGCTCTCGACAACATCTTTGCATACCATCTTCTGCATCGCCGAGCCCGCCGACAGCCACAGTGCCGCTGTCGTCGGCCTATCTGCCGCTCTGAAGCGATACAACCTAGCCGACGGTCTGGGCGAGGACATGCTCTCCCGTGTCCGCGCCTTCCCAGGCAGCCTCTCGCACCCAACCTTGGGCCTTTCCGAGGACGAGATTCACTTGCTTGACAGGCAAGCCCACGCCATCTTCCACCTCGCCTCCGATGTCTCCCTCCTCGGCAACTTTGACAAGGTGCGCGCCGGCAACCTGGGCCCGGTGCACTTCCTCATCGGACTCGCCCAGGGCCTGCTTCCCGACGCCGACCATGGGGTGTCGAACGTCAAGGCGCTGCACTACCTCTCGACCTGGGGTGTGCCGCATCTCCAGGCATGGCATGACACTGACCTGTCCAGCGGCGGCGGCGACGGTGACGGCGACGGTGACGGCACACAGTCAACCATTCGCCGCTCAGAGGAGGCCATGACGCACATGGTGCCCGGCAAGTCAGGTCGCCTCGCGTACCTCAAGTGCCGCTGGGCGGCCGAACTGCTCCTCGAGAGCGCTGCCGTCAAGGGTCTGCCCGTGTCCATCTTCCGACCCAGCATGACCGCGCCTGCCAACGCCGCCCTGCCTCGCGACGACATCAACAGGCGCATCATCGAGGCCTCGCTGCAGACGGGCAAGGTGCCCCGCTTCGGCGGAGGCATGGGATGGCTCACTGCCGACTTTCTGGCAGCCGCCGTGGCACACCTGGCGTTCCGACAAGAGGGCGGCGTCGCAGCTGGGGCTGGGGCTACGAACAGAAGCAAGATTTGGCACTTCGTGCCCGAGGAGGGCAGCTTCCACGCCTACGCGAATCTTGACCGGGTGCTGGAGACTGCACATGGCGGCGGAGAGCTGCGGGTGGTGGAGCCCCGAGAGTGGTTCGCGACCTTGCGCGCGAGCCGTAATCCCGAAATGATCCTGCAAGCGGCGGTACTCGACGAGTGGTACGCAGCCGGCTGGGTTCCGTTCGAGCTGGACGCCAGGCGGACGCTGGATCTGCTTGCTGAGGAGGCGCATCTCAGGCCAAGAACGGTCGACCGCAGGCTCATCCTGGATAACGTTGTGGGTCACGAGGGCTTCTAGCTCGTGATGTGGTGAGTTGTTCGTGTAAAAAGATAAACATGATAATGAAAGAATGCCATGAGACAATGCATGGTCAAGATGACGCGACAATCCGAGCGAATCAGATGAAGACCGGCGGTCATACATACGTGTAGCAATGGTGGCGCGATTGATCGCGGAGGCTTTCGTCCTGGGTCTAGCTGGGAGATGATCGGACAAGGGGGGAGAGGGAGCGGCGCAAAATAGATGCATTAAGGCGCTCGGACGCCTGAAGGAAAGAAATATCTACTGTCATATGTCCCCATCAATCACCGTGCGCCTCCTTTCGTGCCGTCGTCGCCATCTACTGCCGACCGCCATTTTGCGCAGCTCTCGAGGAGCTCTTTGCTACCGGCGGCCTTGATCTCCCTCGCATTCTCCGGGCCTTGCTTGAGATGATACAGCACGCCAGATCGGAATTTGGCGCCGACACCGCTGAACGACTCACTCAGCCGATCGAACATGAGAAGCAGTACTTGCAGATCTGCCACAAAGCCAGAAGACGTGCGCACGACACGGCCACCGCCGCTATTGAGGGGTGCCGAAGAAAGCAGGTGCTCGATCACGAGGATCCGGGCGCATGTGAATGTGGGCGCCGCGATCATTGGATTCATGAGGAGGTCGGTGGACACACGGCTGGCCTCCCTGATGAGCATGGCCGTCTTGCGGGCGACGGCTACGCAAAGCTCCCAGTTGGATGTCGCAGATCGACTGGAGCCGTCCTCGCCGTTAACCATATCTTCATCATGTGAACCTTGTTCAAGCCGCCTCGTCGGCGGTCTGTGGAACAGGAAGACCGTGTTGACATTCATCATGACGTTCAACCACACGACGTAGGTAAAGTCAGAATGGGCGGCGTTGGCGAGGTCGGTGGCAGACCGCGGCAGCATAAGGCGCATCTGTGACAGGTCTTCCTGGAGTGACCCGAGCATGGACTCGTGGCGTTGGGCGTCATCTTCGTCGTCATCATCCGATTCAGGCCAGTACATGTGTTCGACAATGCGGCCGAGGAGTACGTACGATATGATGAGATAGTGGAACACATTGGGGCCTGTCTGCTGGGCGCCCACCAGCGACAAGAGCTTTCGAAAATTGGGCGTGAACAGCACGCCTGATTGGGATGGCACGGCTTCGCTGTTCTGAACCGTGTCCTCACCCATGGGTAGGTTCACCCGCAGCTGTCTTTCGTCGATCGAGTGCGCCATGCCAATCGGGAAACACATGCCCCTGTCGAGCATGAATAAAGTCCACATGGTTCTGCGGCGCTCCTCAAGCTCCCTCCAATCGACGAACAACAGGGTCGATGCCGCGGCACTCGACGTTGAATCCATCTGGTTGAAGCCCAGTGCTACACACTGCCGCCACGCCTTGCCGAGGACCAGCCAAGCCGTCGAATGATCGCCGACGACCAGAGCGTGAAGGACGATACAGGCAGCAGCCTGCAGGGTTTGGAGGGGCTCGTCGGGGATGTGCGAAGTCTGGCCATATAGATGTTTGGCCACGTCATACCAGCCCGTCTGTTGGGCCTGGACGTCAGCAGCCGTGTGGTTGGCGGCAACAAGGGCAAACAATGCGTAAGGAAGGGGGCGTCTTCGCGCTGACGCCGCTGTGGCAGCTGTCGACAATGCCGCCGAGAGGCGTTCCTTTGAAAAAATGGGCAAGTGGATGTAGAACCGCTGGAAGAATATGCTGCAGAGCTCTTCCGACTGTCGTCTGTCGGGCAGATGTGCAGTGGCGGTTACGGCTGGGGAATGCGATGTCTCGGACTCGGGGTGCCCGGGCTCGCTGCTCGGCGCGGCGTCAGGCGGTGGGTCGGGTGTCTGTGGGGAATGGACGGATGACTGCTGAGAGGTCTTGGCACGGTCCCGGTCGTCAAAGACGGAGCCCGTGACGGAGGAGCTTATCGACGAGCCAACGGACGAACCAACGGACGGAAGCTCATGCGTCAGGGAGGCGGGCAGCCAGCTGGCAGGGTGTGCTGGTGGTTGTGGGAACGGAAAGGCGGTGCCGTGCGACGCGGCGGCGTAGGGTGTCGATGTGGCAGTCGCATGGCCCGGGCCGCCGCCGCCGAACAACATGGCGGTCAGGTCCAAGGCATTGCCGGGAGGGGACGCGGACGTTTCTTGAGGCGAAAAAGAATAGTACAAGGGCGACTGTTCACTGTCGGGTGTGGGCGTCGCGACCAGGCCGGAGATGGTCTGGATGAGGCCGGGATTCATCTGTTGCAAGGTCGACGGCGAGAGTTGCGGGTAGGGGTAGTGTGGCATCGAGCTCGGCATCGGGTACGGCTGGAACTGGAGCTGCTGACCATTCGAGTGCCTGGGGACGTGGCTGAGGTTGTGACCGTTCGCCAGCACGGCAGACGATGCGTGCGAGTGCCGCGCTGGTGGATAGGAGCACAACTCTTGGCGCAAGGTACAGGTGGAGCATGATGGTCTCTGTCCCTGCAGAGATCAACAGAAGGCGCCGGGTCAGCAGCAGAACAGCTACAGGCCATCATGGATCGACCTACGTTGCATCCCTTCTTGCGCGCACGGCACGCGACGCAGACGGCCTTGCCCTTGCTACCGATGCCGGTCCCGGTCCCGGTGCCAGGGCCGGTGGTGGGGCTGGGGCTTGATGCTCCCAACATGATGGAGAAGCCGGCGGTAGTGCGGTCTCCGTTTTCTTTCGACCCACGGCTTGGCGCTCGCTGCGAACGCCGACGCCAGCGGCCGCGGGGTCAAGCAGCTTGATGTTGGCGTTGGCGGGGGTCTGGGTCGTGAATGTGGAGATTGGAGTGATGTGGAGATGGAAGTGCAAGTGAACGTTGAACGTTGATGATGGACCGTACACGGCGTAGGCAAAGCTTGGCGGCGGGATTGCAGTGAATGAAAAGAAGAGGCAGATGGAGGACGGCCGAAGGGGTCGAATGGAGCGAATGGAGAGGAGTGCAGACGAGCAGACAGTTTATGTTCGTCGGAGGGAAGGCGGACCATTAATTCAAGTTGAGGGGTCCCTTCCCTTCCTCTCTGCCTGGTCCAGCTGCTTACCTATGATTCAGACTGGAACCCACTACCGAATGAACTGGCTGCCGCTGCCTCACCGAACCAAGGGAATACGGGCCTGGACGCTGAACGAGGCTTACTGTATGCGGATTCAAACAGTCCCCAAGGTGCTTCCTACTTCTTCCCACCTACTTCACTACCTGTCTTGGGTCCTCACAGCGACGAACCTACCTACCTAGGTACCTAAGGCAAGGTACCTACCTAGGTACCTAAGGCAAGGTACCTTGGTAGGTACCTAGGTGGTAGATAGGGAGGGAGGGAGGCAGAGGAAAGAGAAGGGGGCCAGCCGACCGAGGCAGGGTCTAGCCAGTCTAGCCAGGGTTCAGCCAAGCTCCTGCAGGCTGACGAGGGTCCAGTCGAGCTCTTGCCGAAGCAAACGTTCACCTGCCCCTTGGGGGCGAGGTTCCCACGGCAAGTGCAGAGCCCCCTCCTGTCTGCCTGACCTTTGGGGGTCGAGGTGAGGGAAGCACTTGGCAGGTACCCCTGCTCTGCCTGTGGTAGATTGATGGCTCTGGCCAGACCCCAGCGCCAGCACCCCAGCACGCTATAAGTCTGGTAGGTATTCAGGGAGGTATGCATTTCCATAACAACAGGGCAACCGATCCCTCAACATCTACACAGCGCCCACACAACGCGACAACCACGCATGACTAGCAGCAATTCATTCAGGGTGCAGGGGTAGCACGACACCCTCTTCGCCAATTAACCCTAACGGCTATGCTCCGCATCCAGTCAAGCCTTCTTCGTCATTGCGTCGACGCTTCTGCACGTCGCAACAAACGAGCTCTTCCCAAGACCCCCTGCATAGATCTGTCGCGTCCTAGAATCGATGCTAGACGAAGCCAAGCACGGCAGGGGAGCCCGGAAAGAATGCGAGAGAGAGTGAGCGTGTGTGTCTGTGTGTCTGTGTGTCAGAGAGACACAGAGAGCAAAGAAGGGCGACTGCTCTGACAGACAACCTCGAGACCACACGAAGAACAGCATCTATGCACGGCGTGCCTAGTCATCATCACATCCCTTCTGTACAACAGCATTCTTCCCCTTTGACTCACTCGACCTCGCCTTCGAATTCGGTCTCCGTATGCGACAGCCCCCACGCAACCATGTCAGCCCCTGGTGGGCGCTCCGGAATCCTTCGCATCTGCCGCTGAATATGTGCCGCCGTCCGACCGCCACAAGGCCCCTGCAACTCGTCGCTTTGCCGGTTAAGCTAACCCTGCCCAGTAGTACTGGCTGATGGCTTGACAGGAGCCCTGCAGCTCGGCCGAGAGGCCACCAACGTGTTCACTGGAAAAGAGAGAAAAGTGGTCGCCCGGTACATCGCGGACGACGTCGACAAGCCGGCACCCATGCCTCTGCCATCCCAGCAGCCGTTCGTGCCGTTGCAGGTCCACGCGGCTCGTCACCCCGCGCGGCGTGGGAACTCGTCCCATCGCTCGCAAGAGGACAACCATGGGTCGCCGCCTGGTCTGCCGTTTGCCTCTCGTCCGTTCTGTCGTTGTCAGATCCAACGTCAACTTCCGGCCGCTAGCGCCATCGCCATCGTCAGCTGCCAAGGAAGGCCCTCGCAGCCGCGGCGACGCTGCCAAGAAATCGGGGGTGCAGGGCACCGTGTGCTCGCCAACGCTAGCCTCGACGCCGCCCTGAACCCAAACCGATGGATTGCCAGCGTCCCATGTCGGCGGCGTCCACGTTGAGACGAGCGTTGATGCTTGTTTGAGCGACCGAAACACCCCGACGCGAATCTCGGCCGGACACGACATACTTAGATCGGGTAATCGTATCTGATTAGGGAGCCACGCCTCGGCAGCTGAGCGGGTCGGACCGCCCTGCTCGCTTGGGGCTACGCTGTCCACCATGACCACCCCGGCCACGCCGACCTTGGTATCCCCCTCGAGCACCTTGGCCATCTCCAAGGCCACCATGCCGCCCAGCGACCACCCACCCAGAATGATGGCGCCACCCTGGGGCATCAGGCTCCTCACCAGCTCGACATAGACCCCTGCCATCTCTCGGATCCCTCCCTTCCACGGCCGCCCGCTGCGGAAGCGAGGATTGTGAATCGCGTACACTGCACGGCCTTGCCGCTCCAAGAGGCGGTAGTCGAAACAGGTTCCCCCGCCGTCATGGATCAGTACGAGAGGCAGCTGTTGAGCCTCCATGTCGCCGAAGCAGCGCTGTATCATCGCCGGATTGGGTCCCAGCATGTTCTGTTTTGCTCTGTTGTCGTTGTGTGGCCCGCCGGAACGTTGCTGCAGTTCTAGGTCGTAGTGGTCTCTCGTCAAAGTCACGTCCTGGTCCATGATCTCTGTCACTCCGACAGCCTAGGGCGGGATATTCATTTGTAATGTAGTCTGGTCGTTCACAGCAAACAAAGGGCGCCTCCCGTGCCGTAACGACACGCTGTCACCGCCCTCGTCATGCCCTCGAGCCTCGCCGGATTTGTGATTACTCCGGCGGCAAAAGCGCCGCCACCTCGCCGACAGTTTCGCCGCCCCCTCTGGCGACCATCCCGGCCGCACGCGGCGTGGACCATTTCGAGGGGTTGCCCATGCATCAAAGACTCGCGGATGCTTACCCGAATGCCGTGGGATGTGATTGGGTGACGAACGGCCGCATTGATCCCTCACTACCTAAGTGTCTGACACCCATGAGCCATCACGGGCGAGCAAGTCACCTCAAATGCCATGGAATCCATCGGTACTCATCGGGTACGCTCTTGGGCCCAATTGGTTCATTTACAGTGAACCTTGTCTGACCAGGTGCGGAGAAGATCTCTGCTTCCTGAATCCTGGAACCATTTCGGGTCACCTGCATTTAGAAGAGAGTTGGGAGTAGGGCTGGCGGCGGTTGGCGTGCTCCCGCCTCGACCTAGCATTCACATTTTGCCGTGCCCCAATCCCGGGCCCTACCGTACCTTGACACAAAGCAGATATGAGACCCCAAAAGCGGATATCTAAGCATGACATCTTCTAGGGTTCTCGCATCATATTCAAGGAACAAGATTCCACCTCGCAGCAACCTCTCTCTGGACCATCAAGTTTTAGTAGCCACCCATCGCCGATACCCGACGGCGCTTATCTGCAGTATTCTGTCGACACTGCCATACGGCGCTGCAAGCGTCATTGGAGGGGGCTGACCTTGGCCGCATCGCGACTGAGAGAGGGCTGTCTTTCTTGCTCAAAGGTGACAGAGTGTGTCTTCTGCCCGTCGGTTCGGATATAGTATAACTCCTGTACTTCTCCGAAGTCAAGGTGATGCAGCCGGTGAGCTTTGTCATACTTGATCGATCTCATTTTTTGCAGAGAAATGCAGGTAGAAAAAAGCGAGGAGGTCCAAGCAGAAGAAGCCACGCCACTTAATCTGGCGGGGAGCAAGCTCACGGCGGTATGCAATCCATGTCTGGCAGGGAGGACTTCTATGGTACCGTTTTGGTCATCATGCGTACTATACATCGATCCGTCAGCGGTCCAAGACTCCATGCTTCACGCAAGATCCCAATGCGCGATGGCGACTTATCCAATGTATGTCGTCAGCCCGTCTATCACTGACGTTGTTGTCAAACTTGATCAAACCATGGAAGATCCCATTGGAGTGCGTAGAGACTGTAAAAAATGGGTTTGGATTGCAAATCACCGTCACGTTAGTATAAAAGGTCTCATGCCGCCATACTGTAATTGGACCGTGAGGCTATGCGACCAGGCGATGCACAGGGTCATTGTCCGGCCCGAAGAACACACATCATCGCCAGGTAAGAATACACGTAGTGTTCCAGTGGCATCTAACTTCGTCGTAGTTTGACAACTTTACTCTCACACGTGCCGAGGGTAGGTGGAGTGGCCTTGAGGTCGGGATTGGTTTGGCTTGGAACATTTGTCCGTATCTTGACTACGGGACTTGATTGATTGGTCTTCAATATGCTATTTTGGTGGAAAGTACTGCCTCGTGGTGGCAGATTATTACTTCGAGACTGTACTCTGCGGGACGTGTCTGCCGAAAATTTGCGTCTACGGTATTGCTGTATGCCGTTTTCCCATCCCAAACCCTACTGTCGAGATCAACACAACATTCATCAATGAAAGGAACAAGGGCGTATGAGGAGCTCAAACGCATGAAATGCACCTAGCAGGTCTCATGGCTTCAGTAGTTCACGTGCACTCAATCCATTGAACTGTCAGAATGATACGCGTTTGGTTAATGTAGAGTGACTGTGTAAGGATGTTATTAATATGCTGTTCTTGAAAGGCCATAGTTAGACTCTACGCTGTTTGACTTAAGAAAGCTTACTTGTAGATTCTCAATAAAAGCTACACAGGCTATCAACACAAGGAGAGTACAGCCATTGTCATGGGTGTTCAATCAGGAAGATAATGTCCAAAGTAAAGGACTTTAATATATCGCTGTATCGTAATGGTTGCCATGCTATACTGAAGTGAGTAGGACTCTTCAGCTCTTTAGGCCTCCCGCTGCTTTGTCCGCCCATGTTGTTCCGCGCCATTCGCTCATACCCGGTTGCTATGCTGAGTATCGCAGTGAATGCGACGGAGTCGCGCTCCTTCCTCAGGAGTTTGCTTTGCGTTCCCAAGATGGCCCAGGCTTTATTCCCAGCAAGCTATCCCCTTCAGGTGTGCTTCTGCCTATCCACCAACGGTCCGTCAACTCACACTGCCGACCGTCGCCATCCGCGTCTCACGACAACAACTGCAACAACCAGAATCACAGCCGCAGCATACCACCGACAATGGCGACTTGGGCCGCCATCGCACGCAAGGCCGCGGAGACCACCGCTGAGGCCCTTGAAGAGGGCGTCAAATTCTCGTGGGCGGAGAACGAAGCCAACAAAGTCACCGCCGCCACCTTGGAAGAATTTGGTCCTCCTCTTTCCTACGACACCGACAGTGACAACGGCTGTGATTCCAAGGTCAAAACCGAGCTCAACGCTGGCCACATCAACAACAACATCATCATGGCAGCTCAAGAAAACATCGTGATTGCCCCCGAGGTGCCCATGCAGAACACGGCCGGCACCTCTCCCGGTCCTGCCCCCGACGAGGGTGCCTCATCCTCGTCTGCCGCTCCTTCCGTTGGAGCTCCCATGTCCAGGGTTGAAGAGTTCAAACTGGCTCTTGGCGACTTTGGCACTCAACTTGGTCTGATGGTCCGCCTCAAAGGCGTCGCCCCAGAGAACGTTGACGAGTGTGTCAACAACATTATCGAAAAGAGCCTTGACGATATCATCGCTGTCAAGGGCAAGGATGCCCAGAAGAACGAGAAGGCCCAGAGATTGGACGCTGCCAACAACAAGAAAATCACCGCTCCTACCCAGCAGCCTGAAAATGATCCGAAGGGCAAAGGTAAAGCTGTCGAGACCACTGACGCCTTCACCGGCATGATGGAGGGCTACAAGTTCTCAGCTGCCTCGCAGCTCCCCAACAGTGAGCCTCACCCGTCGAGACTCACCGTGGAAGAACGCAGAGCCCAGGTTCAGTGGGCTGTACAGTCTGCTCTCGATCTTCGCCGTCTCCAGAAGTGAGTTGCTTCCTGATCCGGTGTTCTTCTCTTCATCACAACCCCCAGCTGACCACAGGTAGACTCTCGCTTACCCAGGAAACGGCCGACGTTATCATGTTTTTCACAAAGCCCGATGCGGTCACTGGAGAGACTGAGATTCCGGTCCATCGCGAGCTGCTCATCAGAGAGTCGACTTGGTTTAGTCGCCCGGGCGGCCTGCCTCCCCCAAACAAGGTTTGCCTTGTGTCCGAAGGCTGGTGAGTAGATCCCACTGACACGGGCTTAGGACGGCAAACCTGTCTATATCTGTCTCGGAGATGGACCTGCCGGCGTTGTTGGCCAGGTCTTCAGGTTCCTTTACAACCACAGTGAGTAGTCTTTGCCCAGTGTGTAATCAGTTGCTAACCACATTCTCCTTTCCCAGAGGTCGACGAGTGCGAGAGAAACGCCGGCTCGCCCTTCCACCTTATCCATATCCAGTGCAACGTGAACCAATATGTCCTGGCCGTCGCCTACGGCATGACTCGCCAGCAGCAGTATCATCTCAATAAGGTTCAGGAGCATGTCGAATGGCTCAGGGAGCACGTCTCTCACAATGCGCCTCTATGCAACATGGTGCTCACCACTGGCGTGGAGATCGGATGGTGCGAGGTGCCGCTCCGTCACTGCAACACGTGCCTCTGGAAGGAAGTCATCCCGGCATACCGCGAGGGTCTGCGCCGGATGCACGTTCTCATTGCCCGGCTCAATCTCATCATCGTGCCGTGGATGAACCGCCAGCCTTGTGTCAAGCCATTCGTCGACATGTTCTGGATCACACAGCAGTATGGCAGCTTCCCGTGGAGGGCTTGGGCTTGGTATCTTCGCTCGCTCGGTACCATTCGGGAGAGCGACTGTGACGATTGGTCCCTTGTTGGAGAACAGATGAGTCAGGCCGAAATTGCCAGGGCTCTGAAGCCCTATCATATAGTCTGAAGCAACAGGAAAATGATGGCCAAGGACTAAAACATGGTTGCTCACAGTTGGCATGAGCTCTGTCCAAGGAGGGCAGAGGAAAGTAGTAGCATAGCTTGGCCATCGATTGGTTCAATAGGAATTCAGGATTGATTCCGTTGATTAATGACTCTGATCGCACCGTGATGCCACCAGCTTGACGAGCTCGAATCGAGTACCCCCGGACAAAAAACGTCCTGTGTCTTATGAGCCAGTCAATATCATCATGTTGAGAGAATAGAGGGGGTATGCAGTCAGTAAGATAAGAGATGCTCGCCAATTCAACACGGCCGGGAATCGTACCCTGCTTGGCTGAGCTGAGCAGTGATTCAGGTCACCTGAAAAACTCTGCGAAATTTCATAATTAACTATTGGTTTCTCGGCAATGGTGTTTACTATTGAGATGTCGCAACGCAAGGCAAATGACATCCAGGCGAGTGTCTTCTGCGTCAAGACCCAAGACAACTTGGTTTGCGCGATACCAACAATACATGATGAGTTCCACTCTTTGTTATGGGGTTTAGAGCGTCACTGCGTCATGAAGTACGAGGCCTGTTTACAGGGAGGCAGTGAGGCGTTTACTTGGAAAGTCCAGACGTATACTCAGAGACTCCTTGTCTTGTCCTTGGGTATGTTCCACTGCATCATGTAAGCGAGAGACTAGGTTAGCGACATCAGTCACCGTGATCACGACGACGGTTAAACGGGCCGAGCGCTTGCGTCTTTTGAATACTACGTGATCAAACCATCCTGCACGTATTCTGTCATGCAAGACGCCCGATTTGCAGCCTTGGGCGTACCTTGCGGTGAGCTCGTCGATCTTCTACTTGCAGCTTATGATGAGCAGGCATTCGAGCTACCTGAGACATACCAGGCAACGGTGTCTCAAGACAGCTGCCTTCACTTGATTCTGGTCATTTCAGCCGACCAGATGCAGAGCAGTCATGCAACCACGACTTCCTAGTCAACCTTCGTGGACTTCATCCGTCGGCCGCGAAGCAGGGTTCTGCCGCTTGTTGAGCGCGCTCAGAGGCCTCTTGCAGCGATCTGACAGACCAGCGACTCAAATGCCTTAGTTCGTACATAGTGCTTCTTCAGTGCACAAAATTCAGTGGTTAAGAAAAGAAACCTGCTTGTGGAACAATGACTGAGGTATCCAGCCCAGCAACTTGGATATTAGTGGAGTAGAAACAGCATAATGCCTTGAACGGAGAGAATCGCGTGCAAGTGCCGTTGCAGCAGCCCAAATGTCTTCCGGGCCAGGCTTTGTCGGTTGAATTGATTATTTTAGTGGAAGTTCCTCGTTTGCTGGAAACATTAAGATGTCGGCCGTTCCGATGCTGATACATCAGTTCCAGAGCGGGGACTGGTGCCTCAGATTTATATCTCCAGTGATAAGTATGATACTCAGGCGGCCAAGTAAACCAGCAGCTGCACTTGAATGACTGCCAGAATGTGCTTGGCACTAGAGCCCACAGGAGGTACATCTGAACTTCAAGGGCGCTGGTAGCAAACTCAAGCTACGCGGGCCGAGCGGGCGGCTAGCCCGGGCCGCCCAGAGCTAGACACCTTAGCACGGCGCGCTAGGCGCCGGAGTGCTTGTTAGCCGAAATGTGTTGCTCTTTTGAGAACAGTGCAGAGAAACAACCATTCGTGCTTCGGCAATCCATTTGCAGACGTTCCAACCTGAGTGACGTACACGATCTGGGAACTAAATGTAATACATGTAGCAAATATAGATCTGCATCTTACTCCGATTACGCTGTTAAGCGGGCCCCGATCTTGTCCCCTGTTGTGTGTCTCAGTCTGATGATAACTGAAGGTCGCTGGTGACAAGCTTGGCACAATTATCGACTGGCATGAACCGCATCGTGAGCTCCGACTTGTACCCTGTTCCAGCGACGAGCACCGCACTCATTCATGGTATCAAGCTGTGTCATGAATGTGCATAGACCAAAGTATCGTTCAGATCGATGCTGACGGACCTAGCTAGGTAATGCAAGAGAGATCGACAACCATGCCAATTGGCCTTCCCCCAATAGCCTTTCTGGTTCTGTTCCGTGCGCGATCGTGTACACGAATTGCCTTCGTCATTTCACACTCCAGGCGACCTGGATCATAATATCCTGAGCCACTAGTACAAAGCCACATCCAACATATGAACCCCTTGTTTAACATTCTGGACCTACAACCGATATGCCCGCAATATCGCGATCAACACACCTCCATACTACGCATGACAGTAGCAGACATAAGATAAGAGGGGTGAGGGGAGCTCTGTAACGGACGGGCATCTCATAACTGGCCTTTTATCCTACACCTGCTCACGTACTGTTCGACTTGCACCAGGCCATACACTACACGCCATGGAGCTTCCGGGACGACAAGCTAGTATGAATGAACCCATCGCCATCATAGGAACTGCTTGTCGATTGCCAGGTTCTGCAAGCTCCCCATCTAAACTCTGGGAGCTTATCAAGTCCCCGCAAGAAATCCCACGCCCTGTCACCGCGGATAGACTCAACCTATCCAACTTCTACAGCCCCGACGGTGAGAGTCACGGCCGTACTGATGTCAGGAAGCAACCCTACCTACTCAATGAAGACATTCGGCGTTTCGATGCATCCTTTTTCCGCATCAACCCCAAAGAGGCCGCTGGCATGGACCCACAGCAACGCATTCTGTTGGAGACTGTTTACGAGGCGCTTGAGGCAGCAGGATTGCCTCTGGGCTCAGTCGAAGGATCGCAGACATCCGTCCACGTTGGCGTTATGACTGACGACTACGCCATGATCCAAGCCCGGGATATCGATAGCATGGGCAGTCATGCAGCTACTGGCCTATCCCGCTGCATCTTGTCCAACCGTGTCTCTTATGCATTCGACTTGCGTGGACCCTCAATGACTGTCGACACAGCGTGCTCCAGTTCACTTGTCGCCCTTCATTTGGCAGTCCAGAGCCTTCGAAAAGGAGAGGCATCCCAGGCGGTTGTGGGAGGGACCAGTCTGCTGCTCGACCCTCACTGGTTTGTGGCCGAATCGTCACTCCACATGCTGTCCTCGGATTCTCGCTCCCGAATGTGGGATGTGGAAGCCAATGGATATGCTCGCGGAGAAGGCTGTGCGGTGGTAATCCTCAAGCCTCTCAACAAAGCCATACAAGATGGCGATCACATTGAAAGCGTCATCCGCGAAACAGGCGTCAACTCGGATGGTCGAACAAACGGCATGACAATGCCCTGCCCCATAGCGCAGGCCACTCTGATTCAGGAAACGTACCAGAACGCAGGTCTGAATTCCGTCACCGATCGGTGCCAGTACTTTGAGTGTCACGGCACTGGCACCCAAGCCGGTGACCCAGTCGAGGCTCGTGCTATCAGCAGCGCATTCTTTCCTTCGACTACGCTTGACCAGGAAGATTCCGCAAAGGCTGATGCAATTCCACTGTACTGTGGCTCGATTAAGACTATCGTTGGTCACCTCGAAGGCTGCGCTGGGTTAGCCGGCCTTCTTCGGGCATCCCTTGCAGTCCAACACGGCGTCATCCCGCCCAACATGCATTTCAATGAGCTCAACCCGTCCGTCAAACCTTTTTACACGAATCTCTGTGTGCCTACGTCGCCCCTGAAGTGGCCAGATACCCATGGTCAACCTCGTCGCGCCAGCGTCAACAGCTTTGGCTTTGGCGGCACAAATGCCCACACTATTATCGAAAGCTACGTTACTCCTGCGGAGACTCTTCCATCCTCCAAACAAACGGCAGCTGTCAAATCGGTCGCCAGGCAAGAAATTGATGGTTTCGGACTCGTCGGTCCGTTTGTGTTCTCAGCCAGGAGTCGCACGTCACTTTCCCAGTCACTTCGACAAACCCTAGACCATCTGCGGATCAATCCGGCGCTGGATTTAGATGCCTTGAGCAGCGTGCTGCATTCGAACCGAAGCGCCTTGACATACAAGATAGTAGTTCCGGCAATGGCAAGTCGCGAGAAGCTACTAGAAAGCTTAGAGGAACATGTCAAGCTCGCATCTAGCGTACAAACCAGTGAGTCGTTTGGCGTCAGGGCCTTGAATGAGTCCGGTGCGACCAAGCACCCAGGGATCCTCGGCATCTTCACTGGACAGGTCAGTTAATCAGACTTTGAGCTGCTATACCTAGGTGACTAATTAACGTGTATTGGCTATTATAGGGTGCTCAAGCTGCCCAGATGGGCCGACAATTGGTACAATACTGCACAATCTTCCGCCAGTCCATTCAGAAATGCGAGGCCGACTTGAAGTCACTTCCAGAAGGTCCTACTTGGTCATTGATGGAGGAGTTGACTGCGGAAGAGAAGGTTTCGCGTCTCTCTGAGGCCGTCATCTCCCAACCTCTTTGTACGGCCCTTCAAATTGCCCTTGTCGACCTCCTGAAAACGGTCGGCATTGAGTTCGCTGCCGTTGTTGGCCACTCCTCTGGCGAGATCGGTGCTGCGTATGCCGCTGGCCTTTTGAGCGGAAGGCATGCCATGGGTATCGCGTACTACCGCGGTCAAGTGGCCCACCTGGCAAAGGGGCCGGGCGGGAAAGCGGGAGGTATGATGGCGGCAGCCTTGACTTTTCAAGATGCCAAGTCTCTTTGCTCAGAGCCCCGATTCAAGGGACGGGTCAGTGTGGCAGCGGGCAATGCGCCCTCCAGCGTCACTCTGTCTGGTGACTTGGACGCCATCGAAGAGATCAAGGGTGTCTTGACAGCAAAGAAGATCCAGGCTAGGCAGCTCAGAGTCGATACAGCCTACCACTCGCATCACATGCTTGAGTGTGCTGAAGCCTACCTGAGCCATCTTCAGCAGCTCAAGGTGCAAATCCGCAAGCCAGCTGAGGATAACGCATGCGTATGGTTCTCCAGTGTGCGGAACAGCACTGACATGGTCACCCATCATGTTCATCAGAAAGGCCTGGAGGACCAGTACTGGGTTGATAACATGGTTCAGCCAGTGCTGTTCTCCGAGGCTGTGCAGTTTGCGATCCAGAGCCTTCCGGCACGCTTTGCGATCGCTCTCGAAGTTGGACCACATCCTGCTTTGAAGGGTCCAGTGAGCCAAACTATCAAATCATTATCAATGCCTCCTGTTCCGTACGTTGGCTGCTTGGAGCGCGAGAAAGGAGGCATTGAGAGTATGTCATCGGCCCTCGGAACGATCTGGAGCTACCTGGGTCCCTCTGCCATCGACTTTGGCGCTTGGCGAGAGAGCTTCAATTTACCCAGGCAACGGATCCCTCTCAAAGGCTTGCCCACGTATGCGTGGGACCATGATCAAGTGTACTGGCTAGAATCCCGTCTCTCACATAACATGCGTGTGGGTGGCCAGCCGCCACACACTTTGCTCGGCCGTCAGCGCGAAGACACTCCATACGAGAAGACGTGGCGAAACTTCTTTCACTTGAAAGAGATGCCGTGGGTCACGGGCCACACGTTTCAGGGCCAAGTTCTCTTTCCTGGAGCTGGCTATTTTAGTATCGCTTTAGAGGCGTCCAAAGCCTTTGTCCAGGGCCGCCCCATCAAGCTGCTTGAGGTCAGAGATATGAACATACCCAAAGCACTGGTCATCGGTGAGGATGAAGGAGTTGAAGTCGTCTTTACGATGCGCAGCAAGACGCTTCACACAACGGTATCAGACGGCTCAAGCTTAGAAGCCGAGTTCGTTGCTTACAGCTGCTCGGATGGACGCGTCTTGGGTAAGACGTGCGATGCCCGTTTATTCATCCATCTTGGTGGTACTGAATCGGGAGATTTACTTTCCAATCCTATATCTCGGACCGAACTTACACCTATGGATACCGACAGATTCTATCGAGCTGTTTCTGAGATCGACCTTGGCTACGCTGGAGCGTTTCGTACATTGCACTCCATCAGCAGATCTTGGGGTCATGCCAAGGCATCTGCTTCCTGGTCCAGCGATGATATCGCCATTGGTTGCTCACTACACCCTGCTATTCTTGACGTCGCTTTCCAGGTAGGACTGGGGACCGTTCTTTCCACCGCAGAGAAGTCAATGGGAAGCCCCTTGCTCCCAGTTGGAATTCGACGAGCCTTCATCAATCCCAATCAGAACTACGAGGATGAGCCCGGCTCAACGAACATCGAGATCGAGGCCATGATGGTGACTGCAAATGCTGCCATTGTGGAGGTTGACATCAGTTTATGTGCTAAGAAAATAAACGAAACCCAGAGCTGCGGCATTCAGATCGATGGCCTGATACTCAAAGCGATCGCTGAACCACAGCCGTCTGAAGACCGCAACTTGTTTGTCAAGACTATCTGGGATGCTGACAGTGCCTACGGCCTTGCTGTCACATCGCCAACTCCAGCTGATGAGGCTGATCCCCCAACTGTGATAGACGCGTGTGAGAGAATCACTCTGTTCTACATGCAAAACCTCATTCGCAAGCTCTCTGCAAAGGACCTGGAGTCTGCAACGTGGTACCATCAAGAGTTGTTCCGCTACATACACACCACGTTGTCCACAATCCGGGACAAAAAGCATGCGATCCTGCGTGAAGAGTGGTTGGATGACGACCGTGAGACCATCCTGAAGCTTATCGATGAGCATCCAGAGAGCGTCGACATAGAGATGCTGGTCGCAGTGGGTGAAAACCTGCCATCCGTGGTCCGGAAAGAGTCTGGGATGATGGAGCACATGTTGAACAACGACCTGCTCAGTCGGCTTTATAAAGAAAGCCGCGGGCTAGCAGCATGTAATCAGCAAGTTGCCAACCTGATGCGTCGAATCAGTCACAAGCACCCCCGAATGAGGATACTCGAGATTGGCGCCGGTACGGGTGGCACAACTCTCAGTATTTTGAGCGCCATAGGTGAAGCATACACCTCTTATACATGCACAGACATCTCAGCAAGTTTCTTCAACGGTCTGTCGGAGAAACTGCCCGAGGCACACACGTCAAAGGTCAACTTTAAAGTCTTTGACGCGGAAAGGCCACCAGGGGCCCAAGGGTTTGCCGAGGGCAGCTACGACATCGTCATCGCGGCCAACGTACTCCACGCAACACGAAAGCTGTCCGAGACGGTGAGAAATGCCAGAGCTCTCTTGCGACCTGGTGGCCATCTCATTGCTATCGAGGTTACAGGCGGCATGATCCGTGAAACCGGCCTTATGGGCGGCTTAGAGGGCTGGTGGCTCGGCACAGGTGAAGGAAGAAAAATGGGCCCTGGCATCGATCCTCGCGAATGGGATAGCATTCTTGAGGAGAACGGGTTCTCTGGCGTTGATTGTATCACCCATGACCATCCGGATACCGCTCGACACAGCTGTTCAGTTTTTGCGACTCAGGCAGTCGATGAACGAGTCGAAGTCTTGCGAGAGCCTCTCTCTTCCATGTCCCTGATCCCAAAATGCCCTGTGCTCATCTTGGGAGGCAAATCGTTGGCCGTTTCCAAGCTAGCTCGCCGGACAGCCAAGATTTTGAGTCTCTGGTCGCCAGAGGTTAGAACCTGCAGCACCATCGACGGTCTGGATTTGTCCAGTATGCTTCCAGGAACGTTTGTCTTGTGTCTTTCAGATCTGGACAACCCCTTTTTTGCCGAGCCGCCGACGCCTGAAAGGCTTGACAGGCTGCAGGGAATGCTGGGTGTCGCACACAACATATTGTGGGTTACTTGCGGGCGCATGCTCGATGACCCCTACGCCAACATGATGGTAGGCATTGGCCGTGCTCTCGTTGTGGAATTGCCCCACGTAAACATGCATTATCTCGATTTTGAATGCCCTGAGGCGTGGAATGCTGACGTTCTTGTACGCCACGTTCTTCGAATGGCGTTCACATTGGCGTCGTCTACAGCTACGCAAGAAATGCTCTGGAGCGAAGAGCCAGAGGTCCTGGTCAAAGGCAGTGAGATACTTGTGCCTCGTATTGTGCCCGATCACGTTGCCAACGAGAGCCTTAACGCCAAGCGTCGGAAAATGAGCAAAACTGTCACAACGGAGAGGATCACCATCGACTCTAGCAACATCGCCTCGCAACAACCCCAGCTGGTCACTGGCGACAGCCTTTCGGTGCCTGAAAATCATACAGCAGTCGATGTCAAGTTGTCGTTGGCTTTGCAAATTGGAGCCGAAAAACCATGCTTCCTTTGTTTCGGTCGTGTACAAAGCTCTGGTCAGCTAGCATATGTGGGCGAGGTTCTCGTACTGTCTGCAATCGATTCTTCAACGGTCGTTGCCCCCACAGAAAGCCTTCTAGAGTGCTGCGACGTGCAAGCTATCAATGCTGAAAGCCTGGTGGGCACGGCATCTGCCCTGATTGCTTTGCAAGTGGTCCGCAGCGTCCCTCAGCACGGTACGACCCTTGTCTTCGGGGCTACAGTGGACATGGCCCATGCCATCTCCGCTGTAGCAGCTGGAACAGGGCACAACATCCTGTTCGTTGCTGTCGACTCGGTTGACGAAGGGAAGCGAGAAGACTGGATCGTATTGCATCCTCGTGCCTCTGCTCGAGTCGCTCAAAGACAGATCCCTAAGGATACATCACTGGTCATCAACATGTCAAAGGACAATCTCGAGACGACTGTGCCCTTCCTCCCCCTGTCTTGCGTCATTCAGACCTTTGACCCCAGCAGTCTTCTACATGAACCCAGCAAGGAGGTCGCTGCTGCACTGGGCAAAGCGCATGACACGTACCGTTCATTAGCCAGAGAAGAAGCCAGCGAACCATCCGCCAAGATGGTTGTTAACATTGCTGAAGCTCCCCGTCAGCTTCTGGCCAACCGGGACCGTCTGTCCCTCGTATTGGATTGGGAGCGCCATGGGCCAGTCAGCGCAGTCGTCCGACCCCTTGAAGCAAGCAGCCTCTTCTCCACTGACAAGACATACTTCCTTGTTGGAATGGCTGGAGAGCTTGGCCAGTCACTTTGTCGCTTTATGATCCGCGGTGGTGCTCGCCACATTGTCCTTGCCAGTCGTAATCCGGCCCAAGATCCACATTGGCTCAAGGAACTGCGGTCATATGGAACCAACGTCCGCATTGTCAAGATGGATGTGACGGACCGAGCACAGGTGCACAAGACGGTTTCCATGCTTCGGAGGACCATGCCTAAGATCGGGGGCGTTGCTAACGCTGCTTTGGTTTTTGAAGCTGGCATATTTGTCAACTTCTCGGCAGACAATGTCACGAGACAGCTCAAACCCAAAGTCGATGGCTCGCTCCACCTTGATGAAGCGTTTGCCTCGGACAATCTCGAATTTTTCCTGACATTCGGCTCTCTGGCAACCGTGTGCGGAAACCCGGGCCAGGCCATGTACCACGCCGGCAATATGTTCATGTCAAGCCTGGTGGAAAAGCGCAGACGGCGGGGCCAGGCGGCCTCCATCCTCAACTTCGGTCTGCTTGTTGATGTAGGCTACGTTGCCCGAATGGACCGTGCTGATGGTACCAACATTGAGGGCACGCTCCGTTCCCTACTCTTGACCCCCCTATCGGAAGCGGAGCTGCATCATCTTGTGCTTCAAGGCATCATATCAGGCCGACCAGGATCTGCCTCTGGAGAAGTAATCATGGGAATGCCGCCCTATAAAGATGATGGGACAGCGGTCGCTCGTCCGCCATGGGTTGAGAAAGCCTTCTTTTCTCATATGATTCACGCGCCAATATCTACCAGTGCGGCGAGCCATGGGTCACCCCAAGCATCAACATCCAACACGTTGCATCACCTGCGCAGCAGTCTCAACCGGGCCGGTAATATTACAGAAATAACGCAAGGCGTCCGCGAACTCATGTTCAAGAAGATCGAACTGATGATCAAAGTGCCAAGGGATTCTATTGATGCTAGTTCACCGTTGGCAGATCTAGGGCTTGACTCTCTACACGGTATCGACATCCGAAAGTGGTTACTTGAAGATCTCAAGGTCAACATCCCGCTGCTTAAGATTCTTGGCCGTGAGCCGCTGTCATCGCTTTGCGATCACATAGCCCAGAGCTTCATGGAAACCCAAGGGGATTCCGTCAACCAAGTGGAGGCACCCAAAGAGATAAGGGAAGGATCGAGCACCCCTGATCTGAATATTCCTGAGCCACAGGGGAAAAGCGATGTCGATGTTGGAGCATCCAGGGCATCGGCACTTGAGTTTTCACCAGAGGAGTCCAGGGATAGCGATTGGGAAGTCCCGTCCGCATCCCCAGGTACTCCGATGTCGTCGGCTGACGAGACTCTTTCAATTGATTCCGGCGCTTTTGGTGAAGTCCGTGAGGTGGACCCTGATATCCCGCCGTCTTCGCCTTCATCCCCGCTCGTTGGAACCAACAACTCAGAGTGGCCAAATCCAGAGAGGATGGCTTTTAAGCGCAGTGAACGGTTGTCTTTCGCACAAGCAGGAATCCATTTCTTACACACTTTCTTGAAAGATTCCAGCTCTTTCAATGTCACAACGCGCTATTCTGTCAGAGGGCGATTGAATACGGCCAGGCTAGCGGACGCTATCGAGAAGACACTAGGCCACCATGAGGCCTACCAGACATGCTTCTTCGCCAGCTCAGGTAGCGCACAGGTTAAGCAGAACGTTACGAGTGATGCCAAGTTACGCAGATTGAGGCACATTGCTTCAACCACGGAACAGGCGGCCGGGCATGCCCAAGAGGCCTTCAAAGACGTTGCAAATACGGAATATCAGCTCGCATCGGGTGAGACATTCCGGGCTGTTCTGGTAACCCACGGACCTGAGAAGCATACTCTCATCTTTGGCTTCCACCTCATGGCGAGCGATGCCCTCAGCTTTAGCATCTTCCTCCGCGACCTCGATCGAGCTTACCAGATGCGACCTCTGGCAGCCAGCACGGGCTCGTACCTGGATTTCAGTTGCCGACAACACGATGACATCGAAGCCCATCGCCTTGATGACTCTATCAGGTACTGGAGACAGCATCTTGATCCGATACCGGATACTCTGCCCTTGCTGCCGATCGCTCAAGCAAGTTCGCGAAAAGCAAGCCGAGCACATCAGAACCACATCGTCGAGCGAAAGGTTGAGGTCGCCATGGTCAAAAAAGTCAAAACAGCTAGCCAAGCCTGCGGCGCCACATCGATGCAATTTTACTTGGCCGTCATGCAAGTTTTAATAGCTCGTCTCGGTAATGTTGACGATCTATGCATCGGCATTGCGGACAGCGGCCGAAGTCATACAACAGACTTTTCTGATTCAATCGGCCACTTTGCCAACATTCTTCCGGTTCGATTCAAAATTGATTCTGTCCAGTCATTCAAGGAATTGGTAAACCAAACCTCGCACTCTGTGCTACGAGCATTCGACAACTCGCAAGTTCCATTCGATCTGCTCCTCGAAAAGCTAGGAATTGAGCGATCCCCAGCGTACACACCTCTCTTCCAAGTCGCCTTCAACTACCGTGTCGGCGACATATTGCAACGGTCAATTGGCGACTGTGCTTTGTCCATGGAACAGTATGTCGACATCAAGACACCGTACGACTTGGTCATCAACGTCACCCAGGCAGGGTCGCAAGGCCATCTTGTCGAGTGCATTACCAACGGGCGCTTGTACTCAATAGCCGCTACAGAGTTCATAACCGAAACATTCGTTGGCTTAGTTGAATCTCTGGCTAAGGACCAATTCATCAAAGTAAGAGACTGTAAGCTGTTCAACAACGAGCAGGTCGAAGGCGCTGTCACTCTCGGACGAGGACCGACAATTAAACATACTTGGCCCAAGACGCTGTCGGAGAGGTTCCAGGATGTTGTTTCTTCGTTTCCAAACTCTATCGCCATCAAAGACGACAACGAGTCCCTGACGTACAACCTCTTGACCAGTCGCGTTGGCCTTTACGCTTCTTCTCTTGTCAACGCTGGGGCTGAGCCCGGCTCGCGTGTGGCAGTTTTGTGTGTGCCAAGTATCGACATCTATGCTACAATGCTTGCGGCTCTTCACATTGGGGCCGTATATGTGCCACTCGACGTCAATCTTCCAATTGCGAGGCTCCGTAGCATGATGGACGCCTGTAAGCCAGACGTGTTAGTGTTCCATGCGGAAACGGACGAGGCCGCCAAGGAATGCTCCCGTGGTGGCAGAACTCGCACACTTGATTTGTCCGAGTTGCAGGAACATACTCCCAGAAGTGATAACCCACCTCCGCTCGCTTCTACGTCTGCTACACAGGAAAGCTTCCTTCTATTTACCAGCGGCTCCACAGGCACGCCAAAGGGAATTCGTCTGGGCCAACGAGGCATCATGAACTACGCTGCGTCAAAGAGCGCCGTGCTCGGCCTAGGCCAAGTGCGTGTACTGCAGCAGACATCATGTGGCTTCGATATGGCGATTGCCCAAGCGTTCAATGCTTTTGCCAATGGGGGTACTCTTGTGATTGCCCCTACAGAAGCCCGTGGCGATCCGACCATGATTTCAAAAATCATGCTGGATGAGGCCATCGAATTCACTTTGGCTACCCCCTCGGAATATCTCATGCTTACTGCCTATGCCGCTGATACTCTGCAAAGGTGCACATCGTGGCGCTTTGCGTGCTCAGGTGGCGAAGCCGTCTCCGTCAGACTTGTCAACTCTGTACGACGACTAGAGCTCCCTGAGCTAAATTTCATGGACTGCTATGGCCCGACGGAAGTTTCGTGCGCCGTCACATTCCGAACGATCCAGTTGGGTACCGGCGGCGCGGACAGCACTGATGAACGTAACGGCTTAGAAGATAGCCCTGCGAGCAATAACGTCGGGAAAGCCATCTCCAACACATCGATCTATATTCTCAGTGAAGATGGCAAGACAGCTCTGCCTTTCGGTATGCCGGGTGAGATTTGCATCGGCGGTAGCGGCGTTGCCCGAGGATATCTTGATTCTAGGCTCAGCCAGGACAAGTTTGTACCGAATCCGTTCGCAACACCTGACGACCGGGCCCAAGGGCAAGATGTTATGTACCACACTGGCGATAAGGGCTATCTCCTAGCGGATGGCTCTCTCGCATTCCTGGGCCGCATCAATGGTGGCAATACAGTGATCAAGCTTCGAGGCCTCCGAATCGACCTGGACGAGGTTGCAGGGGCAATCTTGGCGGCGGCCCCCAAAGACTGCATAGCTGATGCGATTGTGATGGCTCGTGGAGAGCCTCAATTCCTTGTGGCATACGTCGTATGCGCGCAAGGAAGGAGTATTGATCATGAGCAACTGGACCTGCTCCTTCGCGATCTTGCGTTGCCGCGCTACATGGTCCCTTCGATGATCGTTCCCCTGGACCACTTGCCTACATCGACAAACGGGAAAGTCGACAGAGCAACTCTCAACACTCTTCCGCTCCCTGATCAGAAAACAAGGAAGAACGACAAAGCAGCCCTGACGGTTCCTGAAGGAGAGCTACGAGCACTTTGGCAGACTGTCCTTGGCGAAGCAGCGGGTGCGGCCGCCATCGGACCGTACTCGGACTTCTTCACAGTCGGCGGCAGCTCCCTCCTCCTTGTGCGACTACAGAATATTCTGAGGGAGAGAATGGGTGTCCTTCTACCGCTGCAGGACCTCTACCAGGCTACGACTCTGAGGAAGATGGCGGCAGCAATGCATCAAGAACGCGGTCAATTGACTGAGGAGACCATCGACTGGAAGTTGGAAACGGCGATTCCTGACAGCGTTCTAGAAAATGCGAACGGGCAGCCGTCATCTCCACCACCCAAGAGCCATGATCGCCAGGTGCTTCTCACCGGCGCGGGGTCATTTCTGGGTAGCGAGATTCTTACACAGTTGTTGAAGAATGACGACGTGGCGAAAATTCACTGTGTTGCGGTTTCGGACGACGAACGGGAAAAGCTTTCGTCTCAGGATGATGGCAGTGGCAGGATGATCATCTACGCTGGCAGCTTGATGAGTCCGACGCTGGGCCTGTCTGGCACGGAGAGGGCACTCCTCAGAACCGCCATCGACCAGATCATACACGCAGCAGTCCAGGGCCACTGCATGAACAACTACACGTCGGTCAAAGATGCGCTGTATATTTCAACACAGACGCTGGTCAGGCTTGCTCTTCCGCGTCAGGTGCCCTTCCACTTCATTTCGGCGCCTCGCGTGGTTCTCCTGTCCGGCCAGCACGAGGCAAAGCCAGTCTCGATGGCTGCACATCTTCCGCCGACAGATGGCTCCCAGGGCGTCACAGCTTCCAAGTGGGCCAGCGAATGCTTCCTCGAAAAGATTGCCCAGGAGAGGGACCTTCCTGTTGTGGTGCACAGGCACTGCGCTCTAATCGGAGAGCGGGCGCCAGCCGACGATGTTATGAACTCGGTGGTGCGTTTTTCTGTGCTAACGCGCAAGGTGCCAAACGTGCCTGGAGCACAGGGTTTCTTCGACTTTAAGGACGTCGTGACTGTTGCATCTGAGATAGAGGGCGAGGCCCCGGCAGCCACAGGGGCTGTTTGCTACCGCCATCATAGTGGCGATGTGCGCGTGCCATTCAGCGAGCTGGCAAAGCGGCTGAGTGAGGTATATGGGGGCGAATTTGAGACGGTCGAGCCATCTGAATGGCTCCAAGCCGCAGGGGAGTTTGGAATGGGGGAGATGCTGGTCATCCACCTCAAAGCCAACATGGAGAGTGGGAAGCCTATGGTATTCCCGTATCTAGGCGTTTGATTGATTGCCCTGACCGTGGCTTGAGACCCGATAAGTTGTCAGAGTTGAGCTATGATGATGGATTCAGACAAGGTAATGTTCTGGTGCGTCCTGTGGGCCTAATATCACACTCAATGTGCATTCTGTATCTGGAAAATAGTGATTTCGTGAACTTCTTCTCCGCCATCTTTCTGTTTAAGCCTGCAGTGTCCTTAACAGATCCGAGTTCTGTCTCCCCCCTGCCGTCAGAAGACCGACATCCTGAGCACCCACAATCCACCTAGCCCCAAACTCATTGATCACCTGGGTCAGAATATCTGGACGATGGTAAAGTCCGGCGATGCCCATCATCTTGCCGTGAGCCTTTGCTGCCGCACCGACGCGTCTCAAGGCTCCAATAAAATCCTTGTGGTCCCAGTCAGGCAAGGTTCCAATCTCGCAGGCCAAGTCATTTGACCCGACAAGTAACACATCGCATCCCGGCAGAGCAGCAATGTCTTCCACAGCCTCAAGCGCATCAGCGGTCTCAATCATGATGAAGACCACCGACCCAGTAGCGTTCATCTCCGATTGGATGATGTGCGCAGGGAGAGGCGCGTACTCGAACTGCGGGAAACCGGCGCTGATGGAACGATGGCCGACGGGTGGGTACTTTGCAACGTCAATAACGCGTCGGGCGTCCTCGACACCGTGAATGTGCGGCACAATGATGCCCATGGCTCCGGCATCAAGGACGCGCTGCATGAAGCCGCGGCCGCATTCGTGGGGAACGCGCACGAAAGGTGTGATCCCGGCCGAGTTGGCGGCGATGCACAGCTGGCCAGCATCGCGCATGGTGAGCGTTGTATGCTCCAGATCAATGAAGAGCGAATCGTAACCAGCTGACTTAGCAATCTGGACGATCTCGCCGCCGGGGATGATCTTGATTCCGAAAGCGGTGCAAATCTTGTTTTCTCGTGCGAGGGTGAGAAGGTTGTTCTTGGCAATGTGTGCATGTGTGCTGATAGCAGTCACGGCCTCATGGCCGTTTGTCTGGGTTAACGATGCCATCGTGTTGAGCTTAGGCGGTAGGTGTCAGGATACAGGTACGTGTTTCTTAGTGTGTTGTAACAGTGAACATTCAGATACAACGATGCCACTTCATGGTACAATTAAATAGACCTTCAACTCCATCAACCGGCAATCGAAAGACCATGATGCACCCAAAGTGAGGTTCGCGCAGAACGAGGCCCGGGCAAAACGGGCGGCTTCTGTAGGCGCGATGCGGTAAGAGAAGCCGCGATTCATCTCACGCCTTCAAGCAGTGCGGATGCGACAGCCGCAGTTTCTCCACCGTCCTTGCCCCCTTGACTGGCCACCTAAACAGCGGCACTATGGCCGATATGGATACATTACCCGCGAGCTATAAACGAGCTCAGCTACTGGAGCTCAGGGGCAAGACATCCATGGATGTAACTAGGTAAGGAGGCCGATAGTGGATGTCATGACTGAAGAAAGCTTACTTGCGACGATAGATCTGAATCATGGATTATCACGGTGTTGGGCAGACAACTGTGGATATTGCCATGGGATTTCCTCCCTGCAAACTAGTCGGCTTGCCTCCATAACGTCAGCCTACGCTGCTTGCTGCTCAGAACCCGTTCACTACGCAGAATACGCCTTATGTCGACATGGCTGTGCGAGTCACCTCACGTGCCAAATGTACGCCGTCTTCGTGCATAATTGTTGTTGCGCACAAGCTCTGGGTGAAGATGTTCTGACATCGAAAATGATAAGGGAGTTTCATTGTTAGAGAACGATACAACGTAGGCGCTTTAACGTCGCAGCTTGACTCTGTGCCTCTGAAATTGGCCTTCGAGAAAGATAGAACTTTATTGCATGCCCACACTATTGATCCGGGCAAGTGATCCACCACTGGAATACTTCCTGTGGGTTCAGATCCACCTACAGAGGCCGAAATACACGGCGGTGGCCGACCCACGGCTCTGGAACACATTGCCAACCCTGACCGAGGTGGATCGACTTCACACTTGACTTGAAGCAATTGACCATTAATGGATTTTCAATCATCCTTTATTCGGCGGGAAAGAGCTCGATCACCGGTCCTGGTGAGTTTGAAACATGACAATAAGGTCCTTTATAACAAGCACTACGCCCAGCTTGAGCCACGTCGATAGCTCAATATGTGTACCTGAATCCCTTGTCCTGGCGCTCAGTCAAGTCTGAGTCGTTCGACAACCCGGCAGCTTCGTCAATACCGTCCAGCGCTTCACTGCTTCTCTTCTTGTTTGACGCCTTGGCCGTGAAATAGTGGACCAAGAAAGCGACAATCAGGCACGCGAAGCTCACAATGCTGGTGATGCATCCCTTGGCATACCGAGGGGCATCCTTCTTCTGCCACAGCTGTGGCCCCACGATGCATCCAATGCAGTAGAAGACGAAGAAGACGGCACTAACTACGGACTTCTTAGTGTTGCCCTTGATGTTCGAAGCCATAAGTCCCACCGCTTGGCCCAGCGGCGGCGCAGTGGCTCCGGCAAACCACGTACTGACGACGATTCCCCACGACGCCTTCTGCGGCAGCAGCAGTAGCAACAGACTGCCGAGCATGGGCATGCAGACGAGAAATATGCCGATGAAGCAGCGCGTGTTGTTGCCCAGGAGCTTCGGTCCCAGACCGCCAACCCAGACGAGAATGAAGCCAATCACACCACTGGGCAGGCCAACAAGCATCGTCTCAAACTTGTTGTAGCCGAATCCGTTGATGACGAGAGACGAGAACTTGACGATGGGAGTAGGCAACGTGATGAACAGGGCCATAGCCGCGTAAAGCGCTGTGCGAGGATCGCGGAAGGCCTCTCTCACCTGCGACCAGTCGAAGTGGGCGCGGTCGCGGGTCGCACGGTCGAGAGCAAGGCGGCGCGTACAGATCTCGCGCTCGCGTTCGTTGAGGAACCAAGCCGTATTGGTGTTGCGAGGCATAACGATGACGAACAGGATGCCTGCTGCCATAGTGAGACCACCACAGATGAGGAAGAGAACCCTCCAGGCTGCGATTGTGTGGACACCAGTACCGATGCCGTACATCATGAGGCCACCGACGATTTGAGAAACACCAAACATCGAGACCCAGGTGCTGCAAGAAAAGTCAGCGCATGAGATCATCTGGCCTCTAAGGTTTCACTTACGCAATCCTGATGGGGTGTTCGCTGCGCTTGTACCAGCTGCTGGTAATGATCATGAAGGACGGCGAAACTGCGCCTTCGGTAAATCCAAGAAGGAAGCGAGTGGCACCGAGACTCGAGAAGCCTTGCGAAGCACCCAAGCACATTTCCACACCGCCCCACAGAATACTGTATTCTTCATGTTAATATCACGCCTGTAAAGGACTCAAGGCTTGTAGCAGAATGTGGCACCTACATTGTAGTCCCAACAAAGAGAGTGATGGGGAGTCTACTCATTAGGTACGCAGCAGGATACTCTGAGCAGAGCTGGCCAAAGTAGAACAGCGAGATAGCCCAGGAAAATTGCTGCCCCGTGAGCTTCAAATCCTCCGAAAGTCCGAAAACGGCGGCGTAGTTTATGCTCTGTTTGTCAAGGTCTGTGAGAAGAAGCATGTCAGCACTGTCCAAGGTATCATTGGATTCCAGAGTATGGGGGCAGAAATCACAAACATTGAAAGAAGTAAACAAGTGCCATCAAAGGCATAATGACACGATCAAGCTTCTTGACTAACGCCTTCTCCTCGGCAGGATCGATGTACAAGTCGATGTTCGAACCCTCGAGTTCCTTGACAGAGCCCTTGGGGTCTTGCTCTGCGTCATTCGGCTGAACGTTGCAACTGTTTCTCGGCGACATGTTGAATTATTGCTTGATGAGAACCTAGCGTCTATTCTCTGATGAATGATAGACAACATCGGAATCTTTTTTGAAGACGATGGGCAGACGATTTCTTATACCTCGCCCACTGCGTTACACTAGCGGAGTGGTTGTAGAAAGACTTGCTGGCTTTGCGTCTCAGCCTTTGAGACGGACCCGGGGCCCCAGTTTCCCAAACCGCCGTTCACACGCCCTGTTTGCTTTCCCCCGCAATCTCCAGCCTAATCAGCGTGGGGAAGCGGGGATCATTGACGGGTGAGCGCGCCGTGATAGCTCGAGTCATGCATCGTTTGCCGCGGTTACTGGCGGGTGTCCCTTCCGCTGTGCGGTTCACAAAGCCGACACACTGCGGAATACGCAGCCGACGTTTCGTGATGCGGGATGCAACTCCGGCGCGTGCCTCCAGCAGCACTCGATATCATACTTGCCGAGCTTCTGAAGTGACATATATGGAGTGGATCGCGGTGACGGTCTCGTTGGTTCACTGAATAATTTCGGCAAGAGACATCAAGCAGCGCACAAGCATTACTGTTCCGTACATCTCTATCCTCACACTCATCACAACCGACAACCATGGCTCCCTCAAGGATCGACGTCGTAGAGTCAGACACTCTGTCGCCAAGGCACCCACAAAAGACGAAAAGATTTAACATGTACCTTCTCGAGGTGTTTCCTGAGGACTCCATCCACTACTGTCAAACATTGTTCAACACAATCCTTCCATCAGATCCTGAGGTAGAGAACTGGCGACAGAATGCCGACGCTATTCTTGTTCGCGAGAGGATCATCTCAGCGGAGGATATTCAGGCTGCCCAGAAGCTGCGCGCCATTGGCAAGCAGGGCACAGGAATCGACATCATTGACAAGCCTGCATGCGATGCCCGTGGCATACCGATCTGCAACACGCCTGGAGTTAATGCTCAATCAGTAGCGGAGCTTGTCCTGGCTCTAACGACAGCCGTCGCGCGGCAGCTGCGATCGATCTCTGTCGGCCAGGCTGATGGCCGAGAAGTCCGCAAGGAACACTGCTCTGGCCTATTGTTGTCGGGCAAGGCGATTGGGATCCTTGGCATGGGTGCAATTGGCACCCAAGTAGCCAAGATATTTCAGGGAGCGTTTGCAGCCAAGGTGTGGGCTTACGACCCATTTGCACCTGACAGCGCATGGGGCGATATCGAACATAGGCGGGTTCAGAACTTCGAGGAGATGCTGCCGTACGTAGACGTGCTGACGCTGCATGTCCCCCTGAACGCTGAGACCAAGGGTCTCATCGGACGCAAGCAGCTTAAGGCGATGAAGCCAACGGCTATTCTCATCAACGTTGCACGTGGAGGGATTGTAGACGAGGAGGCCTTGATTGAGACACTCGAAAGTGGTCACTTGTTTGGCGCTGGTCTGGACTGTCACGACGAAGAACCGCCAACCCTACAGCGCTACCACGCCCTGTGGATGTCCGACAGGGTCATCAGTACTCCCCATATTGGTGCCACGACAAGAGAAACGGTGGTGAGGACTTCAACGGCTGCGTTGGACAATGTGTACAAGTTTTTGATGAAGACAGCATAATACATGCCCTTTTTCTTAGGACACAAAGGGCATTTCTGTAACAAATGGCTAACTGAAGATAAACCACATCATGTTGATGGCTTTGCCACGGCTGCTCTCGGACTTTCCACGGCATTTCCACGGTGCTTTGCATACTAGTCTATGGTCTATGTTTGTCGCTTAAATCTGTACATAAAACCCCATGTACGTCCCCACATTCGAGCTGCTACTTGTAGCTCGCCGACGGATGCGCGATCCATCCCACCACAGAATTGTGCCATAACCTGTTACTCCAATGTACCCACCGTTGAGCCTCCACAGACTCCTAAATAAGACGCGAGCATCTGAGAGACCCAATTGTCGGCCTGGCTCGGATTGGAGGATCCATATCCAGGAGTCATGAATCCAAAACCCAACCAACGAGCATTGAAACGATCGAGGCAGTCGACATCAGCCAGCGAAAATGGCCGAACATCTCAAGCGTTAGTTGGTTCTTGATGCATACTTTGTCGCAGTCTTTCATTATCAATCTGAATCCTTCTTACTCACAGCGGCGCTGATGTAGCTGTGACTCGTGCCGACAACGAAAGATCAAATGCTCTGGCTCCCAACCCTGCGATTACTGCTTGAAACGACGCCGTCCTTGCTCGTTTCCTGAGCCGGCCAAAAAGAAACTCTACTCAATCGACTACATCAAGAGCCTAGAGCAGAGAGCTTCTTCGTCGAGCCATGTGCCCGCTCGCGCTCCCACGGGACCGGCGGCAAGCGAAGACGATACACATGATAGCTCTGAGATGCCTGTCCCTGAGACTCTAGGCACACCAGACGCACTCCCGCCGACGACGCCCTCACGGACCAATCGTGATCCTTCAGAACAGTACAACTCGTCGACTGTCCCTGAGATGCCAACCCTGTCGCATGCGGATCCAGTTATAATCATCTCTAACCTCCAGCATGAGGACCGTTTGAGTGATTCCGATGTCCCTGGACCCAGTATGTAGCCTGACCCTTCACTAGCGAGAGTAATAGTAACCTCTAAACGCAGCAACTATCCTTCCGGACTCCGTATCATCTTCCAGTCTACATTTCACACACCAAGTGAAGCTGTTGCACCCTAGGTCTTCAGCCAATAACCAACTTCAAACATTTTCGCCGGATGATACCAAGATTCCGTCGAATGACACATATGATATGGCCAACAGCATACAGCCGCCGAGCGTCTTGCAATGGCCTTCATACGACGAAGCACAGTCACTATTGAATACTGTACTTGGCTCTATTGGGAAACTTCAACATTTATTTGAGCCTCGGCAACTTTCTGATAAGATCTCAATTGTTTACCAAAATGGATCCCTCGAAATCGATCACAATGACCTCTGGTACGCAAAGCTTCTGATGGTTTTTGCGATTGGTAAGCTATTGCAAGGCCAAGTCGATAGCATGTCATCACTTCCCGGTAAAGGCTACTATTGTGAAGCCAAGAAGCGTATCCCGGATCTTGTTACTCTTCGAGACCTTGGTGTTCCTGCTGTAGAAGTCATGGGAATGATGACATTTTACGCTCAATGTGCCGACAAGAGAGATGACGCCTATCTGTATGTGAGTACAAACAGGCCACTCCTCTCATTATACAACAACTGGGGTTCCTGACCATGTTCGACAGGCTGGTGTAGCTGTCCGGCTTGCAATATCGCATGGGATGTCTCGTGAGAAACTATCTTCCACAGTTCTTCCTTCAGAAAAGGCACACCAGGCTAGACTATGGTGGACGATATACATGCAAGAACGGAGGCTAGCAGCCGCCACGGGCTATCCTCTGTCGATTGATGACGACTCGATCAGCGCAGCACTGCCAGCTGATTCTCCGGGCTTTACACCAGCTTCAGCTCTGGTCTTCAACATTAAGCTTGCGAAAACAACGGGCCAGGCTATGAAAGGTAACTGTTTCGAAGACGCGCACATACTGCCTAACTGACAGCGTGACAGTCATCTATAAGCACGGACAAGTTTCGACATCTCAGTACGTTCGCCAAGTAAAAGTTATTTTATCAGATCTTGTGCAAGTGGCTCGTTCGCTGCCAACAGAACATGCTCGCGATATAGCCAAGCCACTCGATCTTTCCAGGGCCTCTGCAACTCTGTACTTAATGCTTTATCAGGTATGCTTCCCACCACTTCGCCCCGAAACTCTCGTCATTCCATACTGATGGCTCAAGTGTATCTGCCTCATAACCCGACCTACTCTTCTTCACCTTGCCAAGCTCCGTTTGAACACCGATTCCGACGACTCTAATACCGCAAACAACCGCCACCTTTTCAACCTTGAGAAACTAGCCAACACATGCATGGAGGCAGCTGCTCGAAGTCTAGACATCCTCAAGGCCTTGACAAGGAATGGGCTCATAGGTATGTGGCTCCTCTTGAGGCAGATTCTTTCTCACTGACGCCTTAACCGCAGCAACGTTCGGTTTCTTCGATTTAGAAGCTACGTTCTCTGCTGCTTTCGTATTTGTTTTATTCGAGAGTATCTACCGGCAGACAAGTAAAGGCTGTGGGGCTGCGGGTATCCGGACGGCTTTTGAGATCCTCCACCATCTTGCTGCAAAGGGCAACAAAGTAGCAGTCAAGCGGCGCGCTGACATTGAGCAAATGTGCGCACATCTTGATCTCACATTCCAGGATACGCCTGAAACACAGATGGCCACTGCTACTGAGCTTGCACCTAGTGCTCAGGCCCACGCCGATTCGGACCAGGCGCAAGCTCCTCGATCACGTAACCATTTCGATGTGATAGGGGAAACCAGTGTTATTCCCACGAACACTTCTCCTTCGATTGATTGGACCCAGGTTTCAGCGGCGTTCTTCGATCAGCAGGTACACGATGATGCTCTGGCTGGATCAATGGCCGGTGTACCATTCGCGGAAGGGCTCTGCGACTTAGCACATTTACCAGCTGATTTTCCTCTTGACGACTTTGTACTCACTGGTATTGATCAAGCCGACTGGGAGGAGCTGAGCCGGCAGTTCTCGTCATGATATGTGAACGAAATTCAAATGACACGATGAGTCTCGAACACTAGTCGAGTTGACGGCTGGTCGATCACTCTATTTTTGTATATAGCTGCCGAACACCAAGGCGCTCGTACGATTGCCCTTCAAGCCTTTAGAGTATTGGAATTTGAGACAAGAGCATGGTGGCTTCCATTCATTCCCCAATCTAGCATCGAACTATGGAAATCATCTGAAATTCAAGTTGAGAGGCCAAGATAGCGGGGACTCATATCTGCATCAAAATCCTTTTCTTTGCTGCGCCGCTCCAAATTGTCTAAAGCTTCGTTCTGATGTTATACCGGAGCTGGTCGATCCTGTCAACAGCGGTCGATCTCAAAGGGCCATTCTGGACTACCAGAGCTGTCTCCTTCAGTTGATCACTCGTCCGGGCTCCAATGACGACTGTGTTGCCCAGGTCGCCCTGCAACTTTTAATGGTAGAAAGCCCAACTAGGCCAGCGTAGCTTTCGTGATACCTTCGTCCTGTGAACTCTGATCGCACATATCTAGCGCCGACAGGAAAGTAGGCCGATAGTAAAGACTTGAATGAATAGTTGACCACGGATGACTCTGTTTGAAGCGCACTTGCCTCGGTTCAGCTATGGCGTCTTGAGATTTGGTAACAAACTCGCCAGCGATGGGCTGTAGGCGTAGAGGACAATGATGTGCGTACGTAGAGTGGGAATGGTTTTCTGCTCGATCCGACGCGCTGCGGCAGAGTAGTTGCCTTGGTACATTGATGGAACTATGAAGCTTTTTTATTTGGCGATATGGAAGACTTCTTCAATCTCCTCGCTGGGGAAACTGGAAAGACCGAGGCGTTTAAAGTCCCCTTTTTTGCGAAGCTCGTTGAAATCCATGGGAGTCTCATATATTGGGCTCGGCGATCCGGTGCATACATTTATTACACGTCAACCCTGCCAGACTTTAGCTCGTTCTTGTGTCTGATGCACAATCACAGTTCGCTTGCAAAATCGTTGTGGAGTGCTTCCAGACTCGCGTTACAGTTTTTGACGACGTGGTCCGAAGTGGATATCTCGGGCCCGAAGCCGCCACGTAACTTGGTATCAACAAAGAATCTGGAACCCGCGCCAGTTTGACCCAGGATTTCTTCCAATTGGCCGTAGATAATTTTGATGTCAATGGTCTTGATATTGACTTGCTCGAGAACTTTTACCCATTCGATGGCATCAGCAGCGGATCCGCTTCAGAAGGCTGCTTCGCCAAAGACAACCTTGATTCTGTTTGCAGTCGTGGTGTTCTGTCACACTGGCGAATGACTGTCATTGAAAGTAAAAAGGAGAAAATGGAAAAGGTTTCATGTAAACTGAAACTTGCAAAAGACCGCCAGGTGGCGATTTATATAGCCATAGGTCGTGTGGTCGGAGTTCGAATTACGGAAGTATTTACCACAACCAAGGAGCATGTTTTTGACGTAGAGTTCTGGTTTACGAAGCCGAAGCAAATCATACCCGCTTCTCTCCAAGAGATCATTAGCCGGTGGGTGGAGAGTCTCCTAAGAGTTCATACACATGGCAAACGCTCTTCAGAGGGCACCTACACAGCGAAGGTACAGGATTCAGAGTGCTAGTACAAGGGGGCAGAAACCACCGTAGCGCGTATATGAGGTCTGTTTGGGGCCGAATTGACAATTCAGACTCATTATATAACGACGAGCCTCAACGGATAGTGCGGCGCCATCGTAATCGAACGCATTGACGTACTTCTGGGTGGCCTACCAACCAGCCAGAGTGATGGTTAGAAGTGTCGGTGGTGACATTCATTTGGTCAGTGGTATTCATCTAGTGCACAGTGTTGAGCTTCCCTGCTCACCCGGAACTACCTACCTACCTGTAGATAGGTAGCTTCAGGCACCCTTCTACCCTGTAGAATATTTACGAAATATGGTGCACATACACCTTTCCGCACTTGACCCTCTCCAACAAAAAGAAGACAAGCTTGGCTATACGATACCATCACCCTCATTTGCGTACTACGCGTAAATGATTAGCTAAGTGTATATACGTACAGTTGGATATACAGTCTATGGGTTGAGTAGGTCTCGGCGCATAACCATGGCAAAATCGCGGATGCAGGTACATGACAATCATCTCGAAACCAAGTGATCGGTCATTTTTTGCACGAACACTGAATATACAAGGATGTGGGGCGTGTGTGGCATCAGCAAACCCACACCAAGACACCGCAGCTTGACTACCTTCGAAGACAATGAGTACCAGTACCCCAGCTCGGGACTGTGCAGGAAGAGATCGTCAACAGCGAGTGTAGCCTTTCATCTCGGCGAGATGATACGCGCCATGGCCGTAGTTCAATGAATTAAATCCTGAGCACAGGGCCTACGTTGCACACATTCATAGCTTGATTGATGGTCACCAAACCGCTTGTTTTGTTAGAATATCCCAGTTTCCTTCATCATAAAACGCAAGTGCAGGCATTGCCGGTACAACCGCCTGCCGCCGAATTACAAATTGCTATCCTCGGTGCCGGCAGAATAGTTCGCCGACCGAACGGCAGACGAGGACGCAGAATCATGTCCCACTCCAAAGCCTGATGACTACCTTGGATTGGCGACGAAGACATCTTGGCGACGTGCCAGAGCCACATCGGACTCAATTTGCTTCCGTTTCATATTCTTTGCTAATGTGGAAGTAAACCGGCCCCACCGGCCGGCCTGCGGTTACGGCAGTTGACTGACTCGAAAATCAACGAGCTACATGGCGGCCAACAAATGCACCTGGCGTATCTCTCCGACGGGATGTTTGTAAGCCATTTGGTTGACAGAGTGAACTGACTCTTTCAGAGCGTGACACGGCATTCAAAGCACATAGCACATAGGTCATACGTACTGGCCCAAGGTAGATCAAGCAAGAATAGGGTATAAAAGGTTCCATAAGGTGAACGAATGGTCGACCTTGAGTTGATGTACACAAAACGTGAAAAATTGTCACTCGACCGAAAAATCGCCTTGTTTGGGCAGCAATCTCATACTTTACTTGCTCGACCAAGATCAGTAAGATTTCAAATATTATGATCTCCAAACTCTCTACTCTGGGCCTGCTAGCCACCACAGCTGCCATGGTTCGTGGCGCCTGCTCCTCCAAAATCCGTGTAGAGACCCACGTCAACAGCGGCTTGTCTCTCGATATGGTCTCGTCGCTCATTATTGGCTCTCAAGCGGCTGTCGTGATCGACATGCCTATGGCTATTCCTCAAGCTGTAGAGCTCGCCGCCTGGGTCAAGAATACTACAGACAAGCCTCTTGTTGCTGCCTTCACCACGCACTTTCATCCCGACCATTACCTCAGCGGTGCCGAGTTTCTCAAAAGCTTTCCCAATACCAAGTACTACGCAAATTCCAAAGCGGCGGCACAGATTCGTGTGGAGGCTGCAAGCAAGGTGAGCGCACTTCCATGAATGCGATGGCCCTGAAAGCTCTGACTCATCCGTGGATGTAGGTTCAGGCAGTAGGCACAGCTTTTGGAGCCGACAACATCGTGAAAGAGGTCGCCATTCCTTCGCCGTACGACTTTACATTCTTCACTCTGCCAGGAGATGAGGCGTCCCCCATCCACCTTCTTAGCCCCTTGACCGGCGACACTGTGGACGAGACTATGTTCTGGGTGCCATCAATTCGCACCCTCATTGCCGGCGACGCGGTCTATGGTCACGATGTACACCTTTGGCTTGCCGATCTCTTGACGCCGGAGTTGACCGAATCGTGGCTGTCTACGCTCGATTTCATTAAGCACCTCGGGCCCAAGGTCATCGTTCCGGGCCACTCGCTCTCGAACAAGAAGTTCGGCCCAACCGTTGATTTAGATTTCACCCGCAAATACCTCCGATTCTGGCAGAAGCAGATCGAATCAAAAGGACACAGCACGTTCACGCCACAGCAGATTTTCCAAAAGTTCAATGCTAGTTTCCCTGCTTTGCTTGCTGGAAGGGACATTGCAAGCTCCATGTTCTTGTTAAATGCTACCGCTGAGCAGTTTGGCCGCGACGGCAATCGCCAAGTACATTTCCTTGACCTGGCTGCCTTCAACAGTACCGCAGATTTGGACGCATGGAAGTTTAGCGAGTAATGCCGCACAGCGCTTCGACTTCTATGACTTCTATGGCTTTCCATGTCTCACTTGTCGAACTTTTCCTTGTACTCTAGATCAGTGGCACTTATTAGCCTTTGTGATCTTGATCAGGCAGTAATCACATCTCAGCTGTCGCTCAGCCCTTTGCATTTTTCTTACCAGAACGAGAAAACACCTCATACTTGCGATAGACTTCATGAGATGCAGCACGTGAACTGACTTCGTCATAATCCGCGGAGATCATCTAATTGCTGGCGTGTGATTTTATAAGGGTCAAGGCGGGATCGACTGGCGTGGTCGTGTCAGCGAGAGCTGTCAGCCCGAGCACGGGCCTACATGCATGAGCTGTGCAACGATGACCCCCCGTATCTTTGGAGATTGCTCCTGCATGGTGATGGATTCGGCTGTGGTCATGCGGCTGAGCTGACGGTCTTCTCCTCATCTGCTTAAAACTTTGGTCTCCATGAGGTTGAATTTTCATCCTCACGGGCCGCCTTATCAGCACATTTGACATTGAGCACTTTCTGGCAATCACGATCATCACAGCCCAGGAGCGACTTCCTGCCTCTGCGTCACCCTGACAGCAAACTCCGCCAGCCAATCAGCAGCACGATTCGAGCTTGCGGGTCTCTAGGCAACGACCATCACTCGCTAGTACTACTTCACGCATCTTCCGACTTCATGCAATACGAGATCATAGACGACCGCCCCTTACGGCGACCTCGCGAGCTCGACTATGTGATCCGTCACACCGCTCCTACAGCCATCCGTTATGAGGACAACTGCGCGGAGCCCGCTTGCTCCCGAGAAAGGACGTACGGCCCCCGCGATGACAGAAGCTACAGTCCACCAGGTCGTCGCAGGTCTCGCCGCTATGATATGAGTGAATTGAAACCGAGGTTTACTCATGGATATGGCCATGTCGACAGATACTCGTCTCCAAGTCCCCCTCCTATCATCGAGAGAACTAGAGAACGCAGAGGATATGGCAGTGAAGATGAACCTGCTTTCCGGATCGGACGCAGACGAACTGTAAGGCGAGACTCGTACTCCCAGCCACCTGACACTTTGATGGCCAGAGTCGCCAGCTTCAAGTTCGACAGCTCGCCTGAAGCTCCAGCCGACCTCAGCTTGGATGCTTCCAGCACCATCTTGCCAAAGGGCAAGCGAGCGTCTACGAGTCGACCCCACAAGGCCGTCCACGTCTTCCGGTCAGATTACACAGGAGATGGGCACCTTGAAGGAAATCATTCCATCTCTTTGACCTCCCGTTCCGATCCCGAAGGAGAGTCGTTGTCTCTTTTCCGTTGGCTGTGCGTATTCCGGATAAACACGTCTTCCTCGTTGACTGACCAGCTTCAGCCATGTGAAACAGGATATCATGAACTTTGACTCTCTAGCGGTAAATTTCCTCCAGAACATGCTCTCGTTTCTCAAGTCTTCTAATTGTTTCCTCAGGCTGATATCCAAGCACTTCCTTTCTTGACAACGCCTCAACGCAAGGCCATCTCGCGGCTGCTGTCTGACGTCAAGAAGAACTCGTCAAGGCCCATTCGAGTTTCCAAGGATACTACCGTGAGACACATGGACCCTGGTGTTCGACAACTCGACATTCCCCCGTCCAAAGACAGCCCCGATAATCATACCACGCCGACGCCAGTCACCTGGCTCTGCATCCCATACTTTTCCCTTGAACGGTACTCTGGCTTCTCTGCCTCCACGAATCCAGGCTCGTATCCCACACAGACTCTCCTACAGGCGTCGTACGCTCGCATCGCATACAAACGCGACATGCAGCAAGCGGCCCGCCATATCAACAGCGGAGACAGGGGTTGGTGCTTTCACATCCCGCAACTCTGGTGCTTGGTCATAGGCGACTCTGTACTTGTGACGTGCGGGCTGATGGATGAGCTCACGCTGCGTGATAAGGCCATATCCATCCAGGAAGAGATTCCGCGGCCGCCGCACTCCAAAGGTGTCAAGGGTGCCCGCATCCTGGTTAGGTATGGAGTCTCGTTGTCATGGTCCATACCTGCTGAGGAATGCAAGACGTTCCTTGCCTTTGCTGCCCACTTTCACGAACTGTGGCCTGCGGTATTGGAATTCTATCACGACCAACACATGGTGTCCAAGGATACATGGCGCGATATCTTCAAGCTTCTCCAGCGAGGGCGGAGCAGCATTACGCTCACCATGAAAACTAAGTAAGTCGTGATAAGATGAATATCTTCTGATCATCGTTGTTGACTTCGACAGGTTTGCGCCGCCGTTCACGCCTTCCTTACGCCTCCACGACTTACACCGGGCACCCGGACGTATTCCGGCCTTTAAGGATACCAAACTTCCAGAGGAAAGCAATATTCAGCCTTCACCACGAAAAAAGCGCGAGGAGGCCACCACAGAGTTCGACAAGGAAGACAAACTGACAGAGATACCTTCACGAAACCCCAACGAGATATTTCACGTCTTCAGCTGGATCAAAACGAAGTCTTCGAGCGCAGCTGATTACCCAAATCTCGAAGATATCCAGGGGCGCCTTGAAAAAGTGTCCAGCCTTCTCAGCGGAGATTCCAATGCCGCCGGAAGCAAGGCTTTCCGAGCTGCTAGCACAATGGACCGCGCAGCCACCCATACCCGCGTCGAAGCCTCAACCCGACAAGCTTCCGATGGGGGCAGTAGCAGTCGTAGACCTGGCAGATATCGACAGAGCGCTATCGGGCTGTTCAACACAGCAGACGTTGTGTATAATTTCTTCTTTCCGAAGCGAACTGAGGATACCACAATACTCAAATACTGGGGGTCCATCGCCTACCTTTGTTTTGTAGGTACTTTCTGCCCCTCGGATTCCCAGCTAACATAGTGGAAAGCCCCAGGGTTCAGAAAGGAACCGCCACGGCAGGGATGACAGGCGTTCTGCGGGTGATTCGCCTCATCCAAATATTGGTCTTATTCTATCAAAGTTTGAAGATCTCATGCCGAACATGCTGGCCTTTAAGCAGCTGATGACGCAAGCTACGGAGTCCGATCGTGCCAAGATACAAGTATCTGAAGATTTGACCCGCGCCTGGCCCCTCATCGTCATGAGCCTTATTCATAGCTGCGCTGACATGGGTAGTGTTAGCTCATGGGCTGAACAGCTGAGCTTTGCGATCTCTCTCATCCAAAGCGGCATGGCGGAAACTATTGACAGCCTTTCCTCCTTTCGACTTGCCGGCAAGGTCACCGTCTTACCGATGGATCTTATATCGTTGATGAGCATTCGGCTGCTCTCTGATGTCACTGGAAAGCATCCAAGTGCAAGCGAGACATATCTGGAGTACCTCCAGGGCTTAGTACGTTGGTGTATGGACTCGTCGCGTAACTGGCTGACACTTTACAGGAAGCACAGATCACATCGATGCCATCCGATCGGTCGTATGAGACTCGCATCAATCACGTACAGGAGGAAATCACAATCGCGAAGAATATTGTGGGTGCGCAAAAGGTCATTTACGGGTTCATCAGCCGAACCTTGAACGCCGGCGAGTCCAAAAATCTCATCAGTCGTACAAGGCCGTTCGATCACTATGGTGAAGGCCTCAATAGATCGGCGGCACCTTATAACAACCCTTTTGCGCCGGGAAACGCGGACGACATGGCACTCGAGCTTCCGCTTTCCGATTTATCGTCGGTCCGAGACCTTCTTGTTTGGGAGTGCATCGACCTGCTAGAACGGAAGAAGAAGGAGTTTCAAGGGTACGGCTTGCACGCGCAGTCACTGGAGCGCCAGGTATATTTCCCAACGCACAATCGTAGCAACTGTTTGGCTAACGTCGGGCCAGAATGCCAGCAAAGTCATCGGCACCAAAGACAAGCAGGAACAGGCCATCTACATCTTCACACTCGTGACAATCATTTTTCTGCCGCTCAGCGCAGTCTCGAGCATTTTCGGGATGAACACCAGCGACGTGCGGGACATGGAGTCGGGCATGTGGACGTACTGGGCTGTGGCCATCCCCGTGACGCTGCTGGTCATTCTGCTCGGTTTGTGGTGGCTGGGTGAGCTGGGCGCGCTCGCTGCGTGGGTGACGTGCAAGTTGCGAGGACAGCGCGGTCTTTCGGATGAGATTCCTCCACCACCGTACCCCGGGCATCAGCTCTCGTCGATGACGGTGCCAGAGGAGCTTCCCGGCCGTACCCGTAACGTCTACCGGGAGCGATACTACCGTCCGCCTCCACCAGTAATCGAAAGCGATGATGACGGGCGTGACGGCTGGCGGCGTTCGTATCGGCAACGCGAGGATGAGAGGCTTGAAGATGAGAGATACGCCGTGCAGACGCGGCTCGACCGAGAGAGGCGGCGCGCCGAGGAAAGGCAGCTGTTAGAGGAAAAGAGACTACTGGACAAACTGGAGGCGGAGGAGGAGGCGAAAGCGAAGATGCAGGCTGAGCTGGACCTGTTACGACGGGAGATGAGAATGCAAGAAGAAGAGGCAGCAAAGAGGGCCGCAGGGGAACGGATGCAGCGCCACCGAAACGAGGAGAGAGAGAGGCGCCTCGCAGAAGAGAAGGCGAGACGCGCGGCAGAGGAGAAGGTAAAGCGAGCGGCAGAGGAGAAGCAACCGGCCAGCGAGCGCGAGAAAAGGGACGATTCCGATGCAGGGCCCAGCAGACGGGCGCCGCATCGCGACCAGACTGTGGAGGAGTACGACTGATCTCGAGCGTAAATTGACGCGGTGGGCAAATCGAAAGAGAGCAATAGGCATCCTGATACTTTCGTCTGCCCACTCTTTTTCAGACTCGCGACAAGCAAAGTCAAATCATACCTCGCTCATTTCACCCGGCACACTGGCTGGAATTCTTCACTGACAGTTCCCAATGAGCTGTCCTCGACCTACCCCGCCCCCGCCTTCAAGAGGCCTCGATCACGGCACTGGACGCTCTCAAGGGCCATGGCTCATCGAAATTGGGCCCGAATTGCATCAAACTGATAGCGGGTCACCGCCAGGCACCGTTGGGCGACAGCGAAGCGGCCACATCACCCAACGAAACAAGCTCAGCCCTGCAAGGAACGGCCGTCCGTGATCAGGGTCCCGCGGGCCTTTTGACTCTCGGGACCGGGTCTCGCGGTCACGGTCAGGCGGGATGCAGGGGTGGCCCCTGGTATCTGGTCCGACTGGACAGAAGGCTGGCAGAGAGCAGGGGTTATGCAAGTAAAGTGGTGGAGAGGCTACTTTGGGCGCCGAATCTTGATTTCAGCGTGACGTGCGTCTCTGGCGTCATAAGGCCTCGATGGCCCAATCGGCCTGCCAGGTCATCCAGGCCTCTTTTCTGCCTTGAGAGAATGCGACTGGCTCAAACTCGACTGGGCGGGAACGGGGGCCAGACCTGTCGGCAAGTTTGGCTCCTCAGCACTAACCGGTCGCTGGGACGGCTGGCCTGGTTTGGAACCCAGTGCCGTGGCTAGGCAGAATGCTCGTGTTCGCAGGTCGAGGAGGGGAGGAGGGGAGGGTATTTATCGCTTCGATGCCCCTCGCCTTTCGCTGATTCGCATCTTCCCATCGTCCCAACTCCACGTCTTCCATCGACCCCTCGACCGAACTTTGACTGATCGTCCAGCAGAGGATCGCCCCTCAGCGATCGTCAATCCTTTCCACTATTCTTGTTCCCCTTCTCTCCCAAGATCACGGTTCCTCCTTCAGTGTCGGCCTCGGCGTATCTAGATCGCAGAACACTGCAAGCGCTCACCGCATCACAACTCTCAGCCCCAGCAACAACCTAGACGCCGCTGAACCGTCTCAGCTGTCAAAATGGGTGCGTATGAGCTCTTTTTCTACGATGAAAACCTTTGACAACTGACATGCCATGACGCAGCACCTTCACGGGACTACGACTACACGCGCACTAAGAAGCGCCTGTATCTTGATCCCCCAACCTACGATCGCTCCGTCGTTCGCACTCGACGAACCACATTCGTCCCCCCGCCGCCACCGCCCCCCGTCATCTACAGGCCTCCCACGCCGCCTCCTGTTATCTGCAGGCCTGCCACGCCGCCGCCTCCTGTCGTTGTCGAGCCGCCTCCGCCTCCTCCGCCCGTCATCTGCGAGCCCCTACCGCCACCGCCGCCACCCGTCTGCCCCCCCTCCCCAGAGCCCGGCATCGAAGTCATAGCCGTCGACGTCGACCCCGTCGAGAAGAAGCGCCGCCGTCGCAGGTCCCACTCGCGCCACAGCGGGAGTCACTCGCGCGAAGTCTACATTGAGCGCGAGAAGATTGTTCCCGTCCGCGTGCCCGTCCCCGTTCCGCAGCCGCAACAGCCCGAGTACGAAACATTTCGCTACGTCGACGCGCCGAGGCGGTCGCCGCCGCGGATCATGCCTGCGCCGCCAAGAGAAGAGCGCGAAGAGGACCGCATGCGCATCATGATTCACGACAGGCGGCGGGAAAGAGAATACGTTGACGATGGGTATCAGGGCAGTGGGAGCGACCGTGGGTACGATCGCGGATATGATCGCGTGCGATACTACTAGGCCTGAGCGCGCTTGTTCTTTTCCTTCTGATAGGCGTTCTGGTTCTTTCTCTGTTGTTAGCGAAGCGCTGTGATTTATGGCGCTGGCACTCGCCTGTACGAATTCATGGATAGAGCGGGAGAATGATCTCTGGCATGGGTTCGGATTAGGCTATGATGATGACCAAATTTACGAAATGTCTACTTCATACTATTCTGAATCATCATTATTGATACTGCGCCGAATCAAGAAATGCACAACCTCGCCTCGACGAGACCCCCATCTCCTGTCCCTCCCATGTGACCGACCCTAGAATGCTACCAAACACACAAACCACATTACGACCACCACGAGATCCAACCGTCAGTCGACTCAATCGCCCAACAATCCAGCCGTCAGCTCCTCTGATCATCGCCGAACCCAACCGTCAAGTGTCGCGCTCGTCATCCGTCTGCCTCGCGATCCGTCGCAGCGGCAAGCCCTCCTCCTCAACCCTCAGCATCCGCCCCAGTCCATCTCTATTGTCCACGAGCCTCACCATCCTCTCCCTCGCCATGTCTTCCATACGCGACATGTCCATCATCGCCGCCACTTCGCTCTCCGGGAGTTTCAGACTCTGGAGCACCAGCGGCAGCTGCGCGTTCTTCCAACGCTTCTCCCGCCTCGTCCGCCACGCCACGACAATGCAGAAGACGGCGCTGAGAAGGAGCAGGGCGCCGGGGTACATGGTGTAGCGAAGGTTCACGACGTAGTGGACCACGTCGCGATGGACGGTGCCAAAGGCCTGCTGCGAATCGTAGTTTGTAGCACGAATCGCACAGGTCGTGAAGTAGGCAATGTTACTCACATACACGTTCAAAATGGATGCGAGAGGGCTAGAGAGATCACGAGGTTTGAGATTTCGCGCGACAGTCTCCCCCTCGGCGATGTTCGGGTGTGTAACCCAGGCCGTGAACCAGGACCCATAAAGCATCTCAGTGAAGGTGTCGTCGTAGGTCATGAATGTGTTTTCGGACTCGTCACGCGAGACGCCTACTGATCCGAAGAGGTACGGGCCCAGTGAGTTTTCCAGGCTGCGGCTGGCTTTGTAGGAGACGCGATATGTGCATTCGCCTTCTTCGCTCGCTTCTTCTGCTGTGATGTTCACGTTACACGGCCATGGAGCGGTGAGGAATACGTCGTCGTCATCGACCGACGGCACATCTTGGGGGTGATCGTATTCGATTTCGCGTACGCCATCATACTGAAGCTGATTGTTTTGCAACGTGACACTCTTATACGTCTTTGCTGTCCAGTATAGTATGCATTCGACTGCCTCAAAGGCTGCAGCGTCTCTAAAGATGTTGCCAATGGCAGCAAAGTGCAGCAAGACTGGCCCAAGCCGCATGTTCGGTGCAGCAAATTGAGAGCCCTGCGACACTGAATATGACGCCTGCATGGAAAGGACGATTCGATCAACGTCTTCAGGATGTCTAGAGTCCTTTGCACTTGTTGTGATATTTAGCGAGGTTGAGTTGGCCAAATGGTCAGAGGAGTGAATACGGCGACAAGGCCCTCCTATCGTATGCACAGTCTGGACCGAGCATGGGAGTCTCGCTTCATTGCATTTGGAAGCCACAACAAGACCAAATTCCGAAGCCCTCCTTACTTCCTTGAGGTCAGTCATCCAGAGCTTTGTACTCATCTGCGGAATATCATACCACGCACGTGAAGCCCCTCGACAACTATCCAGCCCGAAGAGTCTGTCGTTTTCTGGCATCCCTCTTTTTTTCAACCGCATTTCTGCACCCTCGCAAGGTGGGGTTTAGCAGGGGAACATACTGTAGCTAGATAAGGCAGCTAATTTTCTATGTTGATGAACCGCCAGCCTAGCGCACATCATCCAACAATTCTGCGCAAGAAGCGGAAGGTCAAGATTGTACTCGCTGGGCCGCTTGCCTCCGCTTTTGAAGAACACGGAATCCCTTGAATTATGTCCAGGGCTGTTCCACAAACTCATGTCGTCTTGTTCGACTTGTTGAGCTCCCCTATTGTCCAATGTGGGTTCGGCTTCGATGGTGGGCAGTGCCCGGACCCAGTTATTTCAAGAAAACGCGAACACGATTTGCGTGCCAAGCAGTGAAGTTGTCCGCTTAGCTACAAAGCCCTTCAAGACGATGAATACAGCATGCCCGAGGCCGTGCTCGACTACAATCACTCAGAGATGTTGTCTGTTGCTTCGGGGGATGTCTGCATCCCAAGACTTCGGCGCCAGAGAGAAAGTCGGTCGTGGTTTCCAAGCTCGCCATGGGCAATGCCAGCGAAAAGGTGTCAGCTCGTGTCGACGTAAGCCGCCTCGCCCTCTCACCCCCGCCCAAACACAAACACATACACAACCATGTTCTGTGTTGCTCTACTATCCATGACCACGGGAGGCCTTTAGAACTAAATCTCGACCAACTTCTGAACCTTGGCACCGAAATTGGGTACCGAAGTAACCCATTCAGACTGCTGTAGTCTGTCTCCGACGTAAAAATACTATCAAGAACGTGTAAATCCATGGGAAGTCCAATTATTCAAAAGCAGAGGTATCTGGGACACCACCCGTACAGTGGTTCAACTTATGTTCGGCTAGTATCAGATAAATGAGGGTACCAGTCTCATCTCCTACATGAATAGATAATGAATTATCATCTCCTCACAAAGATTTACAAAGACGGGGCATATACTGTCGGTGATATGCGGGTCTACAATTGGCGAACCATGCGCCAGTGGCGTCTCATCCCGGCTGGAGCCCATCGCGTGTTCCTCTCTAAATGGAGAGGCTTCGGAGCTTGTGCTGGGTAATAGGCTACTGAGTAATGGATGGATGTGGTGCTATCGCCTGCAAAGACCAGGATTTCTCGGCTTCATGGGGAATGGATACAGAAGAAGAAACTTGGGGGCGGTACCCTCTCCCCTCCCTCACCCATCACTTAGCGCACATCAATCGTTACGTATTCATCGACGCCAGGCAGTTCTAAGGCCATGAGCGATACGGAAAACGACTGCAGCATTGAGCATGCAAGGGCGGGGATCTGACACAAGGACTGAAAAGTTCTCAGGAGAGAGAGATGTCCAAGAGTGCTTGTCCTTTTAACTCAACGTCGTCGAGAAATGCATCCTAGGCGTACCGTCACTGGAGGAACGACGTCACTGGACCTGCCGAGTGAAACTTAGATCGTGCTGATGGACAACAATGCCGGCCACCTGCGAAGTGAGCCCAATTTAGTTCTTGCTTCTTTCTGTACACCAGGAAGTGGAAATTAATCGCCAGGCTTCGAGAAAGTCAGGTAGTTTACTGCAAATGCGGGGAGAAACGATCATACTACTAGCCTTTCCGTCTGCTCAATATAATATGCAATCTCAATTCCTATCTTTCCTCAGAACACAGCATCTGACCTACCTCGAGGCTAGACGCGCCGATGTGCTTCAGACAAGATGAGCCAAATCACACCACACCGCCCTCGCAAGTTGTTTCGGATGAGCCCAGTCGTATCATACCGCCCTCACAAGTTGCATCCTGACTGCCAATACGCGTTTTCGTCAGAAGTAACAAAGTATGTCAAACAACCCATCAAAGATGATCCCATAGGATGCGTACTTCAGCACATCTTCTTGAATCAAGATGATCATGTCACCAAGGTATGTCCAGTGTCCCAATTCACGATCGCAACACTGCCCCGAACGCTTACGATGAGCGATTGCACTGTTCTGATATCTTACACCTGCTGCAGACTATCGCAAGTCGTCCCCACGTCCAGGCCGGAGATCTGTACCCAGAACGCAGCATCACACAAGTGATTCCTGCGCAACGACGTACATCGTCGATGATAGTCTACACGGGCCAGCAGATCGACAACAGAAGCCAGTACCGGAAATTGACAAGTGGATTTGACGATTTCGTTTCCAAAATAGAAGACCCATCAGCCATGCAGGAAATTCCAAAGCCGCCGGGACTCGGTACCCAAGTTGTCGAAGGTCTCCAACAGCCACTCACACCACCGACGGCCAAATCGGAACATAAACACTCAGAAGCAGCCTCGTCTGCGACTTTGGGGTCTATTCAGATTGAAGATGACGGCTGCCCTTCTGTCATAGATGATGATTTCTCTCAGGATGGAGACACCGGGGGGTCGCTCGCTACGCTCCTACGAAAGGTCTACAAGAACGATCTTAAGTTTGCTGAGAAGTTGATTGCGTCGATACAGCAGCTTCCAGTACGTGAGCAACGGTTTCTAGAAGCCCCCGGTGACTTCATACTCCAGAGCACATCACCAATCGATGATTCGATAACAGAGACCGATGAGGTTTCGGATGCCGAGGCCTCAGGATCCGTCTATCATGGCACACCACACACTGACGGTCAGAGCCGGCACCACTATAACGACTTGGAAGAGACGCCCACCTCGTCGCAACCAGCCGATTCCGGCAAAGACGCATCCTCAGCTGGCCCTAAAAGGCCTCGAAGTATAGACGATCTTCATAGCACGAAGCGTCAGAAAAACTCTGGGAAAGGCAAGGAGAGGGCCGGCAACAGCGAGGAGAAGGCCGGCAACAGCGAGGAGAAGGCTGGCAACAGCGAGGAGAGGGCTGGCAACAGCGACAGCGAGGGCGAGGATGAAGGCAATGAGGCTACTTCAGACACCTCAGGGAAGCACAAAACGCCCGCAGAGGATCTGCCATGGCCTTGCCCTTATTACTGGAAATTTTCTAGAGGCGAGAGACAAACCGTGAGCTCTGCCTGCTATCCCAGGGGAAATCGACCGCGATATCTATGGAGGTAAGTTTGGTCTCCTATGCCAGAGCTCGCTGGCTGTTGTACAATTCAGGAGAGTAAGCGTCTGGTAATTAATCCCACTAACAGGCTGCTACAGGGAACACCTTCGATCTATTCATACAACCCAGGGAAAGAGTGGCTCGTCGAAACACATCATGGAAAATGAACAGTGGTCCGAGGTCAAATTAGCCATCAAACAAGCCGCCAGAAAGCGTCCTCGGGTGCCCGAACGGCGACTTGCTTGGGCCGAAGAACTCTGGAAAAAAGTGTACACTATCCTGTTTCCCGACTCTGATCCGCCAGACCATCCTTGTAAGAACCCGACACTGCCGAGTCCTCATCCCTTTACTAAAACAAAGTGTCAGTTGAAGCCCATATCTCGATTGAAGCTATCGGATACGCGATCACCTCTCATGCGATGAGAATTCATGACGAAATAGTATCCGCCACCGCACAGGAAGCAGTCAACGAGAAGCCTCACCCTTTAGGGAAAGCGTCCGCAGCCGAGCTGCTACCCTCGCCAGCGTCGCCGAGTCGGGCCATGTTCGAAAAGGCTATCACCATCAGCACACAGAAGGTGCTATGTGACTTTTTGCCGTATCTGTTTGACACTGCACACGCGGGCAAAATCCCAGCTTCAACAGACACTTCAGCGAGGGCAGAAGAAGACTTACCACCCGGGCCAAAGATGTTGGAGGACAAGTTCACAGTATCGGGGGAAGTGACGAAAGTCGTCCTGATGCTCAAAAGACTGGCCAATGGACCTGGCCAAGAGCTATCCCATGACGTCAGAATCGTCCATAGTCCCTCGGTAGGGATGATGTCCATGGCGGTAGAAAACCTCGATCTCCTGACCACAGCCTCAATACCCCTTCCCGGACAAGTAACTGCTGTTGCGCCAACCACGGATGCAGCGTTCCAGCATCTTGGAACCCATCTAATCCCATCACAAAGCTTCCTCATGGATGTTCCGAACGAGCACATTGGGCAGGCAAATTATGGACAGGTATCGCAGTCTACTCTTCCACAGCCTGACACCATAGCGCCAGAACTTCTTCATCGCAGTTCTGGGACCCTTGAAAGTACGGGAGGGTCTATGAATATGGTCGACTTTGGCGGTGGTCTCTTCGACTTTTCCCTTGGCGGAGGGCCGAGCTAAGAAGAGCAAAATCACGCCGTGTATGGCTTCCCAGGACCATGCCGGCTGCCTATATTGACAAAGACACACAATGTGTCTCGAGGACCGGACGATATCCGGGCTGGCTGTTCGGATCTTCACTGGAGTCCTGCCCTCGGTCGTACGATTCGCCCTTGAACCGCCAGCCGGATTATTTCCACACATATGCTCCCCTTGCGTCACTGCAAGGTCACACTACGACGTCCGTGAGTCGGGTGCGTCTCGTCCGAAGGAGCCCCGCCCAGCCCTATCATCCCATTCGGCGGTTGACTTTTCTTTCGGCCACGCGCGTCCGTTCTTAGGTTCATACTCCTTCACAAGGTGAAGGTGCATAGAAAGCCAAAATAGATAGAATGTAGAGCCACGTCAGGAAGAAGGCTCCTTGTTTGCCTGGGCTGCCGAGTCATTGTTATTCCTTTTGGCTGAGACGTTCACCGCGGAGGCGGGGCGGAGGTCGTGAGTCGTCGGAAGGAGCAAGATGAAACGTGGTCGCGACACGCACATCCCTGGGGGGGGGGGCTTGGGAAGGTCAGATGGAATCGTCGTTGGCAGGTAAATTTTGTGTTTCGGCCCATGTTCTATAGATCTGGGAAGGGCTCGAGGGGAGATTCTGGATCTTGCGTTGGCTTTGGAGAAGCTTCTTTCGGTTTGATCTCTTTACAACACCGGCATGTGCCATTGCCGGCTTTTGGATACGACGACGGTTGCCTCAGCGCAGATGGATCCCCCAGCATGGTGTGCACTCGCCGAGTGTAACATCTCAGAAAGCGGCGCGAGCATGGTGTCAGGAGTACTTAATGCTTGTCATTTCATTCAACACGTCATGATATTCCTGTATAATTCTTTCACGGAATGCATTCGTGAGAAACAAGGAGGGTAGCACCCAAACCATCGGGGCCGGGCGTTGAGCACTGGCACATGCCAAACCATTAGGAAAGCGCGGGGCCAAATAAGATCCAAGCATCACACTAAGTTCGTCGGACAATGACGCGACGAAATGCACTCTCAGAAGTGAGCACGATCAGGATTGGTCTCGGCTGGTCGACGCGTGGACTTGTCTTGGGTCGCTGTGATGCCTGGGCACAGGGTATGAGACGAGGGCTCGGGACGAGCGTAGCGGCATCTCGCTCTAGATTGTGTTCACTCGCGATGCATCAGCCAGCGCCTGACAAGCAAAAATCAGACCTGTGCACGCCGCCATATTCTGCATTTAATCCAGTCTGGCGTCATCCCGAGCACAGAGGCGGTCAAGGTGGGCGTCCTTCTTGAAATCAATAAGAGCTGTTGGCACAAACCAAGGCTGATTTCCGTGGTGTCGAAAAATTACCTGGGGGTTGCTGATTGTTTCAAACGGCCATGGGCAAGTACATGGTGCAAGTAAACCTGCGGGGCCATGGCCATCGCTGGTTGGCGCTTGTCTGAGGTGTCGCAATAGATATCGTAGATCTCGCTTCAGGGGCGGTGGAGTGATCCGATCGTGACTGTCATCTTCCTCACGTTCAGCCTGGTTAGAGCGGACTGGTCAGCAGGCGTGAAAAGCGCTACAGGCGGTTGCTGACCCCATTTCGACAAGCAGTGTGGCGGCGGCCATCGATAGCCAAGCTGCCAGTCAGCAAGGGTCCCAAGACCCAATGGTTGCAGAGGCGCCCGGATTGACCAGGTTGGCCGTGGTCGAGGCGTCAGAAGAAAAGGGGTTCCTCAAGAATGCGGGGCGAGAGGCGTCCGTGTGTTCCTGGGTTTCTTTTCCTTTCCCGGCCGCTGCCTCCTTTGTGGCTCACTAGCAGAACTGGCACAAGAGAAAGAAAACGGCCTCCACCACCGGCGGGTCCATTCTAACATTGCGACCCTCGTAATGACTTCGAAAGCGACACAGGCGCGGACGTAGCCTCCGTTGGAGTGGACACAATTTCTCAGACTTCACAAGAGCTTTCCTTTGAGGTTGAACAAATAGACTCTGCTGGTCTGAACGGCCCGAACGAGCGGAACCCCCTTTTTCGTCAGACGTGAAGGAGCGCCCGTTTCGTAGGTCGATACAGGGTGATTGAAATTCGACTCCCGCTAGCTCGTGCAGCCAACGTGGGATGGCACTGACGATCATTCTACACGGCACAGACAGCCCCAAGCCAAACGCGGCCGCTGCAGATGCCGGATGAACCCAAAGACGGAGGAAAGTGCAGGAAAGAGGCCGTGATGGGCGAACAACAGGTCCGCTGTTCTTCGGCTGGGCGGTCACACCGCCTTGGGTTTCAGTGAGACGCTGTGTTGGAGGGTGGAATCAGGATGGTTGATTGGGCAGGTCGCAAAGAACTTGAGGGGTTGTTCGTGGTACCCCTCGCGATTCGGTCTTTTTTTCCACCACGTCGCTTCACAGCTCTGCCAACCTTCAAAGACGTCGAGCAAGAGTCCAAGACGTATTTGAGGTTTGACGGATTAGTGTCCAGAACTTCGATGCACCTACAAGAACGATGAGGGTAACGGCGTAACGCGCTATCGACGCCATCCAGTCACGAGATTGGGCGGAGGCTTCGAGCGAGGCGACGGCATCTCAGTAGTCTTGTGGTCATGATGAGATGATGGACGGATGTAGATCGCAAGAGATTATGGACAGTGCTTGAGAGGTTGGCACGAGGGGGGAGCCTGGGAAGTGCCGTTTGAGCTTTTCTTGATGGGGAAAGATGTGGCTGTCGGACCAGGGCCTCAACACGGAGCAGCAGTCGTGAATGGTCGCACCCCCTGGTCTTGGAATTTGATTAGGGGCTGGTTTCTCCCCTTCCTGTTGGGTCCTGTTCCTCGTGTGCTGGGGCTTAAGCATTGGCCTGGGGCCAGGGGCAGGTTTGGTGGCCTTTGTGTGTACATGTATGTCGTTCTGGTCCGGTTTTGGCCATGGGAGCACTACTCATTATCAGGAACAGGGGAGTAATACTTGGTAAAAAGTCTTGGGGGGGGGGGGGTAGTAACAGCGCAGAGGCCCTAGATGAGACCATTGAGAGTACGAGATAATGAAGGGGGAGAGGGGGGGGAGGGGGGGCTAAAATAAAATCTCCGGTAATGAGGACTTGATGAAGTGTGATGCAGGGATAGCGAAGCTTCGCGCACATAAGTGGACGAACCCGAATGATGATATTGATGATGGTGGAGGAGGAAGCAGACGCAGTTGATGCGAAAACTTGAGCATCCTCACCTTCCCGGTATCCAGTGGGTGGAGTTGGAGGAGGCAGGGAGCCTCTGGGTCGCGTGGCAATCACCACCCACCCACCCTTTTGCTCAGCAGCGACTTGAGCCCACACCTCACATGTTTGGTAGGCCGGCTGGTGCTTAACCCAAGCACCAAGAAGACGGGAAGGTCCTTCCTGCCCGTCATGGCACGGGCAGGGCGGGCGAAGGACCGCTGGCGCTGGCACTGGCACTGGCATCCTGACTTAGGCGCCCTGGCTGATGAACTAAGTCTTAGCGGCTGCCTCGACCGATGCTACCAATGGGCCACTCCCTGAGAGTGTTCTAGCTTGGTGGAGTTTCGACTGCCTTACAGCAGGCAGATGCCTCATGGTCAGGTATAGGTACCTCAAGTGCCTACCTTGGTCGCTACCACGAAGTGAAACTCATCATGTGCAACGCCCCGACAGATGCATTCCGGCCCCGTCACTTGTTTTTCTTGCCAGGTCAAGCCAGCGTAACCTCATCCGCTCGCCAGGATGCTTGAAGTTCGGTATGACCGAATGTCTCCAGGGTCCTCTGCGATGGCTTGCTATTGCTATTGATACAAATAGCATGGAATAAGGTTGATGTGAGGCGCGTCAAGTAAACACAAATCAAGTTGGGTGCCTCTGGTGGCCCTGACGCCAAGCCCCTTCTTAGGACAGGATGTAAAACAAATTTGGTGTCTTCCCTGTTAGCTGCATATTGCACGTTCCACTTCCCCGGTCAGCCCAGTGCCTCCTAGCCTGCACTGCAGCATCACTCAGGCTTGAACCCAAGTCGACAGCATAATACAGGACAAAAAAAAAAGAGTCCATCCAAGCTCTTCTTCTTTGACGGGTCCCCCATCTCTCCTCTCTTTCTTCTCACTCTCGCGGCATCCCTACCTCCTCATCTCGCTGCTTGCCGGTTTCCGGTTCGATCCACCAGCGTACCTTCCAACTGTCAGCTTACCCTTTCTCCTCCTCACACGCCCCCCCCCTCCAACGTCAGCCTGTACTCCAACGCCAAACCACCCAAATAAACATCACGAACTTCAGACGCCGGACCCGGGCCCCGACAACAAGCACAACAGTAGCACCAGCGCCTGGGCGTCTCAGAAGCGCAATCGCGACTGCATGAGCCGGCAGCCGACGTGGTGATACCTGCAACGCCAATCACGGTCACCCGGTCGTCTCGAAACCCTCGCTGAGTGCCCTGCATCCCCCCCCCCAAA